TCTCTACAGCTACGTGACAATGGGCGAGCTGTGGGCCTTCATCTCTGGGTGGAATCTGGTGCTGTCCTATGCCATCGGTATAAGCCCTTTTGATCCCTTCACCTTCTCTTTGCATTGTTGGCTTTGCTGGGTGTCATTCCCAGACCCTATGGGGCCACCATCATTGCCCCAGCTGCCACCTCTCCCCAGGTACCAGCAGCGTTGCAAAGGTCTGGAGCGCTAACTTTGACCAGCTCCTCAACGGGCAGATCTGGAGGATTTTCGGTGCTGAAACATCTATGAGTTTTGTGGGGCTGGCAGAATACCTGGAAGTCTTTGCTGCAGTCCTGGTGATCCTGCTGACAGGTAGGATGCCTCCTCCCCCGTGCCACCCTCCATCATGTGGGATGAGCTCCTCAGCCCAGCTTGGGCTTTTCTGGATGGTGCCGATCCCTCTGAGGCTTTGACATTTCCCTGAGCAAAGAATGGAGAATACAGGGGGAATCTGGGGAAATCTGCAGATCTTCCTAACTGTACCCACTGTCCCCATGTTTCCACCCTCCCCAGTAATGTCTACCCTGGGGCTGGTGTCATCCAGGGAGCTCGGCCAGTTGTGCTGTTTTTATCCGCAGGGATTCTTTGCTTGGGAGTGAAGGAGTCCACCACAGTCAACAAAGTCTTAACAGCTGTCAACTTGCTTGTCCTGCTCTTCGTCATAGTGAGTGGCTTCATCAAAGGTGACTTGAGCAACTGGCAGCTCAGGGAGGATGAACTGCCACAGGCAGCTGCCCACGAGACTGGGTATGAGGGGCTCTGCTCTCCCTGAGCTGTCTTCAGAGGGGGATGGGGATGGCCGGGTCATCCCCCGAATGCTTTATCCCAGTCAATCCCGCTTTCTCCCATTTCTCCCTGCCCCTTTGGCAGAAGTCCTAAGCCCTGCTGGGTTGATGCCGGAGGGGTGAGGAGGTTGCATGGAGCGTTCAGCCTGGCCCCATCCTGGGACCCCACTGCACTGACCCCTCTGCACTGCCTGAGTCTTCTTCCTCCTCCTCCCAGGAACCAGTCCGTGGCCGACGTGACCAGTGCCTTTGGGGTGGGAGGCTTCATGCCCTATGGTTTCACTGGGACCTTGGCTGGCGCCTCTATCTGTTTCTATGCATTTATTGGATTTAGCGACATCACTACCACAGGTAAGTGAGGTGGGGAGAGATGCCGGTGGGACCTTCCCCTGCAGGCTGTGGGGCCATGGAAGCGATTCTCCGTTCCGCCCTGGGAGCTGGTGTAGGGCTGGGATGGGAATGGGCACATTCCAGGCTCTGTGCTGCAGCCGCTTTCTCCTGCCCTCTGTGCTCAGAGCAGGAACGGTAAGAGTCCCTGTGGCAATCCTGGGACAATCCTGGAGCAGACAGTCCCTACCCCCATAGCCCTGGAGCCCAGGAGCTGCAGTGGTCCTTGCTAGAAGGCCTCTGTGACCCCTCTCATGGGGGGATATGGAATATTAAATGAACATCCGTTTTTACACCTGAGTTTTCCTCCCCAGGGGCAGACGTGAGGGACCCGCAGAGATCCTTCCCCCTCAGCATCATCCTCTCCCTCCTCATCTGCTTCCTCATGTACTTTGGGGTGTCTGCTGCCCTCACCCTGATGATGCCCTACTACCTTGTGGAGGCCATGAGCCCACTTCCACTGGCTTTTCAATATGTTGGCTGGATCAATGCACAGTGTGCTGTGGCTACGGGGTCACTGTGTGCCCTGACAAGCAGGTGAGGGGAGTCCTCCAATGGCAGCTCTGTGGCCCCGAGCAAGGTTGCACTGGAGCTATAACACATCCCCAACCCCTTCCTTCTGACTGCTCTGCTCAGCCAAAATCCCTCAGCCCATTCTCAAACCCCGTTGCTCTCCTCCTGGCCCCTCACGATCAAGGAGATCATCCCCTTGGCATGCAACTTATAGCCCAAAATTGGCAGAAGTGGTTGGATATTTGGTGGCACCGTGACCACAGGAGCAGACTGGGGTGTCTCTGTGTGCACAGGGCTCCCAGTGACCTGTGGACGTCACTTCCCCAATACTGTCCCTCATCATATGTTGAGGGAGGTGATGGTCTTTTCAGCATGGTCTTGAGAAGGTCATGGACCATAGAGATGAACAGGAGCTCCCTTGGCAGCCAAGGAGGAGCAAAAGGCAGCAAGGCATCTCCTGGATTCCTGCCCTCTTTTCCCCCATCTCATCCCCTCTCTGCAGCCTCCTGGCTTCCTTGTTCCGCATACCATGGATCCTGTATTCAATGGCTCAAGACGGACTTTTCTTCAAACCTCTGGCCAAAGTTAATAGCCGTCAGTGCCCAGTGGTGGCACTGTTGGTGTCTGGAGGAATGGCAGGTGGGTGAGCAATTGGGCTACCCCTTAACCTGGAGCAGGGCTTGGTGGATGCCCTCCTTCAGCAGGAGAACACAGACCCCCTAGCTTGCCAGGAGCTGTTTGAGCAATATTTCTCCAGCCAGAGGGAGGTCTCCTTGCTGTGGGTGAAGACCGTTTGGCCTTGGTGATGTCCCAGGCACCAGTTCATCCTCTCCGAGCTGCCAGGCAGGAGGTGGTGGGATGCTTTGCACTAGTGACCAAAGCATCACCGATCACTGAGGTGCTTGAGTCATGCTGCAGCGGGTGTTGGGGGACCCGGGGTGGGGAGCAGAGCTGAGATGGGCCCAGCAGCAGCGCTGCCAGCTCTGCCTGGAGGCTGAAAGGGCTTCTCATCCCCACAGCTCTCCTGGCCCTTCTCTTTGACTTGAAAGTCATGGTTGACATCATGTGCATTGCCATGCTGATGACCTACTCGCTGGTGGCTGTCTGCGTGCTGCTGCTCAGGTGAGACTGCTGGGGACAGGGCTCACCCTACACCTGACGTTGGCCATGCCTGGGGCAAGGCACTGGCCTTGGTGCGCTGCAGGTGCACCTTGACCTTGACATCCAGTATCTTCTCCTCAGGTATCGGCCCCCCAGCACTCAGGACACTGGTGCAGGGCAGGACCAGGATGTGCAGATCTGGTGGCACCGTGTTGTGTGGCCGCCTATGCATCCCACCTCAGAGTCCTTCGCTGTGGTGGCCTGGGCTGTGGCAGCCGTAGGTACGCCCGGGAGCGATGGGTGGGCTTTACGGGGAGCTGGTGTGGGGGGACCCGTGGGGACATTGCTGCTGTAGCGTGGGCTGGCAGGTTCCTGCTCCCTGAAAACCACCCGGCAGCGGGATGCAGGCAGGGCAGCCTGGCTCCCTCCTGCCCTCTCCCGACTGCCCCAACGGGACCTCGGGACACTTCCCGCTCCCCCCACGTCCCAGACTGCAGAGAAAAGCTCGACCCACCATGAAGAGCCACCCAGGCCGGTGCCCTGGTTGTCCTTTGTCCCTCCCAGCATGGCAGCCTGGGCGCTGCACCCGGGGAGAGGGACGGGCTCAGCGTGGGGAAGCGCTGCCCTGACACGCTGCTGTGGTCCCTCCGCAGCCGCCCTGGCCGTCGCCGTGAGCTGTGTGAGCATCGCTGGGCTGCCCTGCCTCCAGGCCGGGGGTGCTTGGTGCGTCGCTGCTCTGGCTCTGCCTCTCCTGGGGATCGTGGTGGCAGCTCTGCTCATCTGGAGGCAACCTCAGAGCCAGGAGAGAGCATCCTTCATGGTGAGCACAGAGGCCAGCCCTCGGGGACCGTCCTCAGGGGGAAGGACCTGGGGGATGGAGGGCAGGCAAGTGCTGCAGCCCCATGGGGAAAGGGTTACGTTACACAGGGGGAGTGTTCCCTCTGCTTCAGGTCAGGCAGAGCTTTGCTGCATCCATGTCGAGCTGTCGGAGGCATCACCGGGCAGCTCACGGGGTTTTCTGTAGGGACTGTGAGGGCTGCCTGCTTCTTCCCCCTGTGTCTCGCAGCCCCAGTGGAGCCCAGTGCCTGCTGCACAAACCAGAGCTGCTCTTTGGTAAAGAGAAACCCAGTCCTGACCCCCTGGGTTGGTTTTGCTAGTGGTTTACTTCCTCCCCCTTAAATCCTGCAGCACCTCCTGCCCCGGTGCAGGAACGGTCAGCCAAACCATCCTCCACGAGCATCCCTCCCCAGCACAGGCTGCAGTCCCAGCTCAGGTCTCTGAGCCAGGCAGCCAGGATGGGCTTCTCCTCACCTGTCAGCAACTAGCCAAAGCAGCAAAGAGCCAAATTTGGCTGTGAAACCTGGGTCCGTGGGCCAGCCAGTGCCTGCGGGTGAAGGCACGACCCTGTTTCCTGTGCTTGGTCCCTTCAGGTTCCCTGCCTGCCCTTCCTGCCGCTCCTCAGCATCACCATCAACTGTGTCCTGATGGCCTGGCTCCGCGCGGGCGCCTGGATGTGGTACCTGATCTGGATGGCCATCGGTAAGCCTGGCCACCCTCCAGGTGCCAGAGCTGGCAGCAGCCTCTTTGCGTGAAGCAGAGCTGGTTTGAGAGCCCGGGGCATTACTGCTGGCTGCAGAGGGGTGGTGGGCGGGTGGAAGTGATGCTGAACTTTAACGTTAAAGGGTGGCGGGAGCACCCTGTCCTCTGATGTGTGGCCCAAAGGAGTGGGAGCTTTGCGGCTGGGAGGGGAGGGAAGAGACAGGGTCCCCCATACCCTATTCTGCCCGTTCCCAGGTTTCCTGATTTACTTTGGCTACGGGATCCGGCACAGCACCGAGAACCACCAGCCAGAAGGGGCAGAACCCCAGGAGCTGTGAACAAGCACGGCCGAGGTGCCCCCAGGGCACTGAGGGACTGTGCGGTGCCCGTCTGCTCCAGGGCAATAAAGGAGAGAGGCTGGTCCCCGAGTGCCCGGCTCCCTCCAGCCTGTGCCTGCGGGGCAAAGAGGCCCCCGGGGCTGAAGGTCCCATCCCACGGAGGGGCACAGCCCTCACACAAGTCTGGGAGCTGTTCTCTCTGGAGTCTGGGGAACCTCCCTGAGCAACGTGAATCCTCGTGGCAAGCCCCCGCTGAAAGACTGTTGTTTGGAGAGGATAAAGCAGACAAATGGTTTTGCCGCTGTTACTGGGTTGTGGGTTGTTTGTATTTTATTTTTTTTTCCTTTGAAACCACTTTCTGCCACCCCTCAACTTCCTCCTGTATCCTTGCCCACCCTGTCCCTCAGCCGCCGCTCATGGCTACAGCATCTGGTGCATCCCCCCACATCCCTGAGGTGGCTTTGCAAAGCGGGTGGCTGCCCCACCACCCATCCCTGCAGCCATGGGGATGCACGGAGCAGTGAGTGCCCTGGGGGGACAGGCCAGTGACAGCCTCCAGTGCAGCGACCGTCCCACCACACCCGTGCGCCCAGTGGAAAGTGCCTGTGTGCATCCAGCCCCGACCCGCAGCCGTGCTGGCAGCATCTTCCCCGCCGGGGCTGCGCTGGTTTGGAGCAGGGAGGGCTGTGACCTGCTGGCAGCTGCCCCTGAAGCCTTCTCCCCCTCGGGAGGATGCTCTGCTCCCCCCGTGTGCCCCTCGGGGTGTGCAGCCTCTGCCCGGCTGTGGGGGAGAAGAGGGGGCTGGTGGTGCTGCTGATGGGCAGCGGCTACAAGGAGTGCTTGGCATCTGGGTGGCAGCGGGGGGGGGGGCACGCCTGGGCTGCCGGAACGATCCCCGGGAGCCGCTTGCTGAAGATGGGGAGAGGAGGGCACGGGTGGGAGCCCTGCCTGACCCCCCCTCCCCAGGGAGTGAGGCAGCTCCCGGGCAGGGGAAGGCCTGCTTACCCTGGAAATGGCAGGAGTGGGTGTCATCGCCTTGGGGCAGCCTGAGCAGGAGGCCAAGGCCCAAAATGGCACAGGCGGACATGGTCTACAGCAAGGGCAGCGCCGGAGGTGGCAGGTACACCCCGCTGCAGCCGTCCCTCCTGCCCGTCGCTGCCACCCCGTCAAAGTCTCTGTGGCTCAGCCCTGGGCTTGGCCGCCCGCTTCCCAGGGATGCTCCCCCGGGGAATGAGGTGTCTTAACAGCACTATGTCCCCGGCACCCTCCTCATCCTCCCGATGCTCGTCCCCAGCCCGGTGAGCGCCTCATCTTCCTCGCCTGACCCCCCCGGGCAGCACTGCTGCTGGTTATGCTCAGAGCCAAGCGCTGGGGCGGATCCAGCCCAATGCACATCTGTGTGTCCTGGCTGACCCCTTTCACCCCCAGAAAGCCCCCCCCGCAGGGGAAGGGGTGCAGGGCTGGCACGGGGAGTAGGGGGAGGGTGGCCGGGGTCTCCATGCAGCCCCGCGAGGGCTGGGCAAAGGCAGGCGCGAGCGTCCAGCGAAATGCTCCATCGCCCCGATGGGACGGGGCCACCCCGAGGGCTCGGTCAGCCCCGGGGTCCTGCCCCGGCAGCGGGGGGCCCTTGTGAGAGCAGCCCCGGGCTCACGCTCCCGGAGGAAAGCCCCGCCAGCCCCCCCGGCAGCGCTCGGTGCCGGTCGGCGGGGTGCTACGTGGCGATGGGGGGCACCTCGCCGGCAGCGGTGGGGAAGGGGGAGCCGTCCCCCCCGTTGAGCAGGCGGTACAGCAGCTCCTCCTTCTCGCGGCGAGCCTGCTCCCGCAGCTGCGCCTCCTTCTCCAGGTCCCCGCGGGCGGCCAGGAGCTCCTCCGACAGCTGCCTGCGGGCAAACGGCTCCGCTGAGGGAGCCGCGGCCCCCTCCGCTCCCCGCACAGCACCCGCTGGCACCGCAGGATGAGGCGCGTCCCGCTCCCCCCGTGGGAGGTGCCACCGGGGAGCCGGTGGGCGCGTGGGACCGGCGCTTACCTCGCCACCACCAAGTGGTTCTGGCTGCGAACTTGCAAGTCCTCGTTCTCCTGCTGCAGAATCTTCACCTTCTCCTCCAGCAGAAGGTTCCTCTCCGCCTGGAAGCGGGGAACGAGGGTGAGGAGGGAGCTGGAAAGGACCGCTGAACCCCCCCGCCCCCGCCACCCCATGCTGGAGGGAATGCTGGCTTGGTGGGAGCGTTGTGACAACGCATCCACATCTCCCCCCCACTCCAAGAGAGCTCTGCGTCAGCTGCAATTTCTGGACAGGGTTCAGGTGGGGAGAAGAGATGGAAAGAGGAACGCCCGCTTGTCACCCCCTCCTTTCAACTCACCACGGTCTCCAGGTTCAGCAGCTTCTTGTCCAGGCCGTGGATGTGCTCGTTCTTCATCTCGATGACGAAGTGCAGGCTCTCCAGCTCCTGCTCCCAGAAGGGACTGGGGCTCCCGTGCTCCTGTGAGGCACAGGGGGGGCACAAGAGCTGCAGCAGGGTGGGCACTCTGGGCATCTGCCGTGGTTCACCCCCCTACACATGACATCAGTGCGCTAGTGTTCTCAGCTGGGGCCCTGCATAGCCCATGATTGGCTTGAACCCACAAAGTACCACATTCCGCCCATCACTTGTGTTCAAGTGACCCCAACAGCCTGGGTACCTCCCAGGGACAGGGATTTTCTCCCCCCTTCAGCTGTCCTGTGCCCCCCCTCAGCTCCATCCCCACCTCTCCCCACGCTCAGGATCCATCAGAGAGTCACCCCTGGCTTTGGCCAGCATCCCAGAGGCAGGTCCCCCCTCCCTGGCACCTCTCCCTGCACCTGGATGTGCTTCTTGTAGTCTGTGCTCAAAAGCGACTCCTCCACCCGCTTTATCCTCTCCTGGAAGGACTTCAGCTGGGAATTCAGAGCCTGGATGGTCTCCTAGGACAGCCGAGGAAGAAGGGAAATGGGAAGTACCCGGGATTTCATCATGAGCAGGGGCACTGCAGGGCTATGACTCCCTGATAAACCCAAGGCTGGAGGAGCCTGCATGGTCCCCAAGCACACCAGAGACTGAGCTGGCCAGCAAGGGGCTTGGGCACCTTGGCTGAACCAGCAGATGGTCCTCAAGCCCTCCCCAGGCTCTCCCTCCCCAGGGATATTTCTGCAGGTACCTGTAAGGCCGCCTGGGATCTGTGGTGGGACTCTGCCAGAAGCAGCTTCTCCTGCTCATGTGCTCTCTGGAGCTCTGCAAAGGGGACACAAGCCAACTGTCTCTGGTGCAGGGACACTGGGACAGCGAGCCCCACCTGAGCCCCACAATGCCATGGAGCAGTGGGGCAGTGTCCCCACAACCCCACATGAAGCCAGAGGGGCACCAGCAGTGGGGGGTGAGCGGGCAGGGGGCTGTGGGGAGTCTGGTTGTCCCGGCACACACCTTGCAGGGTCTCCATGTGCTCTCTCCTCAGGGCATCAAACTGCTCCTCCAGCTCCAGGTCTTTTCCCTTTTCCACCTGGGAAGGAGGGAGATGACAGACCGGGTGTAAGGGATGCTCTGGCCCTCCCCATGCCCCGTAATTTATTGCCAGCCCCACACTTCTCCTGGCTTCCTAACCCCTTCCTCCTCCCAAAAGGGGGACAGCCCAGCCCAGCGTGTGCCAGGTCCATGATCACTGCCAGGGAAGCCCTGGCTGGCCACACGCTCCCTGCCCGGCCGCTGCCCCCAGCAGCATCCACCTTTTCAACCGACCTGGATGTTAACGTCCTGGGTGATTCCGGGGGTGCCTGCCTGGCCAGCATCCCGCAGCTGCTCCTCCTCCTCCTCCTGGACTTGGAGGAGTCTCCTGCTCTCCGTCTGCTCCTCTCGCAGTGTTGCCTTCTCCTTCCCATCTTCAGGCGACAGGGTGGCATTGGCTGCAACGCAAACGTGGCTGAACCGGCACCAGAGGCATCCTGCTAACCCGGATGCTTAGATGTCCTGGGCAGCCAAGGTGCCAGCACGGTGGCCTGGGTTCAGCCCCTGTCCTCTTCCCACTGGACAAATACCACCCCTCCAACATGGCACTGGTGCAAAGTAACGCTAATTTGGATGGCGCTGGCAGACTCAAAGAGGACACAGCTTGTTGGGCCTCCTGCCCTGGGGACAACCTGCCTGCTGGAGAGGACAGGATGCCATCGTCTCCAGGATGCCATCGTCTCCAGGATGCCATCATGTCTGCCTGCCTGCACCAGCACCATGTCGGGGCTGCAGCCATCATCATCATCCTCATCCTCCTCGGCCCCGGGGCAGGCTGGCTGCCCTGGGGTCTTGTCCTACTGCTTTCTTCGTATCACACTGAGAAAGCACAGAAAGGGGAGACACACATTTTCCTCTTACCTTTCTCTGTCTTCAAGACTGTGAGCTCCTGGGTAGCCGGTCCCCTCTGCTGCTGGGCTTTTAGCTGTCTCTGGCAGAGAAAGAGGGGGCTGGAGCAGAGGGGGGACAAAGGGGGGGCAGGTGGCTGCAAGCAGAGAACACCCTGCAGCCAGGCACCCTGTGCTGAGCACACTTCAGCCCTGCTAAAACACTGGTGCTCGAGCAGCAGTGGTCCCTGCCCGACCCCCTGCTCTCTGACAGCCCCGAGCACCCATGGCACCCATGGCTGCTGGCAAGCAGCCCTGAGCTTGTGACATTTCTCTGTGCCCTGGACACTTCCATTGCCAGCCACCGGCTGGAAAACCTGGGGGATGCTCACAACCCCCGCTGACATGGTGCTGGTGCAAAATAGGCTCTGGCAGCAAAACATTTGGTTGGGGAGAGCAGGCAGCACTTGGCAAGGCTCTGGCTATGGTGCTTCCTTGCCACCCTGATCCTGCCCTGTCCCCACTTCCCCGGGATGCTCAGGGCCAGCCTGGTCCCTGGCACCTTGCAGCACCCCAAACACACCCCTCTGCCAGTGCCTTACACAGCTGGGCTTTGACACAGCCCACGCTGGAGCAGGAGTGAGAAATTTAAAATAACCATAAATCAGAGGCGGTGCCGACCCTGTGCAGGACTGGCAGCAGGCGAGGGCTGGCGGCGGCGCGAGTGATGACCTCAGGAGCACAGGAATGTGCTGCTTGGCCCCGCGCACTCCCGCATGCTCCCACTGCTGCCGCGGGGCTGATATTACCCAGAGCCAGGAGCTGCCTTCAGCAACACAGCTCCTCAGGATGCCTTCCAGCCCTGCATGGGTTTAATTTAGTTACTTGGAGGCGAGGAGGAAAATTTTTTTTTTAAAAAAAGGATATATTTTTATCCGTTGCTGAAATATAGAAGCAAAGCTCGCCTGATCTCACAGCTCGGCCTCCCTGGTGCAGGGCAAATCTTGCCCCTGCTGCCCATCGCTGGGTTGTGCTTCTGGGCAGGGGTATGGATGCACCGTAGGTGAGGGAATCCACCTGCAGACACATTGCTGCTCTCTAGTCCCTGGCAAAGCTGCCCCTAAAAATACCAGTCCTTAATGAAACCAGCCTGTGGGGAGCCGGGGACCCCACTGTGCAGGCTGCACCCCGGCTTGGTCCTGCTGTCACAGCGGCGTGGCCAAATACAGACCAGATTAGGGAGCCTGGCTTGGGAAAAAAGCGAGGCAAAAAAAACAGGCGTCCCTGCCCCCGCCTCCCCTGCAGCCCCCCTTCTGAAGCTGGAGGGAAACACAGTTGCCAGAGAGAGCAGGAAAACTCTGAAGCTCTGGGAAGCCGCGGCTTTATCTTCCCTTCTATGGCGTGAGCGGCCACGGCGTTGAACGCGGCCCAGGCAGCGGGGCGAGGAGGCACCAGACGGTCGGGATTCACAGGGTTTGTTCTCACTGCTGCCACGGCTTGCCCTGCAAATGTGGAGTGCCCGAGGATGCCACTGAGCCACGGTAGTCCTAGTTGCAAAGGGTCCCCAGGGTCTCCAGCCCTGCACCCATCTCATGCTGATGTGCATCCCCCTGCGATTTAATGTACCCTGTGACCCGTGCTGGGTTTTGGAGACTGGTGGTAGGGTGGGTAGATGAGACAGTTGGGGGTCTGCAAGCCCTGGGGGAATGATGGGAACCTCAAAGACACCCCCCTCTTTTTGCAACAGAGCAAAGGCTGTGCGGGAAGACTGTCTTGGCACCGTGGGGGTCACACAGCCCAACAGGGTTTGGGATGATCTGAGCCTTTCTGGTAGCAGGATGTAGGTATCCTCCTCCAGGAGTGACCTCCAAACCTCACCTGCCCAAACCACACTGCTTCTGTGGCATGTGTCCTGCTCACTGGAGAAGGTGATGCTCAAGGACAGAAAGCCCAGGACTGGTCACCCCTGATCACCCCCCATAGCACAGGCAATGTCCCCAGAATGGATCCAGGGGACTTTCAACTCTCCCCCATACCCCAAACTCAGCAGGATGGGGCCTCAGAGTCCCTCAGCTGCTCAAGGAGAACGATTTGAGACAACTGCACTGAACTCAGTAAGGGCTAAATGGAGAAAGAGGTATGCCAGAATCAGCAGACAAATCTAAATACCTGCCCCAGGGCTACAAGAGAGGCAACACTCCTATCTCTAGGAGCAATTAAAATAGCATCTGGAGCTAATTTTACTCCTAAGCACTCAATTGTCATTTGGGATGAGAGCTCCACCACCGAAACCAGGGTGAAAAGTAAATGTGGCTAAAAAGTAACCGAAATATAGAGGCACTTTCTGCTGACACTTCAAAGAGCAGCATGTGACACCTGCATCTCTGGTATCGCCCTGCACATTTTGGAGGGCTGGAAGACAGTCACAGTATTCACTGTGTGTGAAAGCAGCAGGCTGGGAGTTGCTCCAGCTGGGACAGCTTTGGCTTGGGGAAGAAGCAGCCCGAATTTCCCACAGGTGCAGGCCATCGGCAGCGCTGCTTGTCCTGCAAGGTCTCAGCATGGAAACCTCTGGCTTCAGCTTTGAGGAAGCTCATGCCAAAAAATACCTTCTAGCTATATATGAAAAAAAAAAAAAAAGTATCCATGCTCTTAGAACTAAATATTTCTAATGGTCTGGAGCAAGTCTGTTTATGGATGGATTAATCGGGATTTCCAGCAGAACCAGAGGCATCTTGTAACGTGCCAGTGGTAGGGAGCACCTGTGCAGAAGCAGCCAGCATGGTGCAGGCAGCTGGGTCAGCTGCAGCCTCTGCTTCAGCTTTTAGAGTGAGGTGGGGTTTTGTACTGTATTTTTCTTCCTCTTTTCCTGTTTTACAAGTTTTGTACTGTATTTTTCTTCCTCTTTTCCTGTTTTACAAGTACGTGAAGCAATTAAATCATGCAACATTACCAACAGCAAAGGAAATCACAAAGAGGCAGGAAACAAGTATTTAAATCCTGACTCTGTTCCTGGGGATGAGGTTTTCCTTTGTGGCTGTGGAAAAGGGGGCCAGGATTTGGCCCATGACCCTAAAACTTTCCTGGGACCCACAGAAGATGCTCAGTGCTGCCAGAGCAATGCTGGCACAGGTCTGTGGGACCTGTCTTTGATTCTGCTGCTTGTTTTTCTTCCGGCATCGGTTGTGTTACAAGATGGCTATCACCTCTCGTACAGTCAGATCTGTGCCACAGACCGTACGCAACTCCTTCACGCTGCTGACAGCCCCAGGGTTTGTGTCCTGACCTTTCCCTGGCTCCTGCTGCTACATATAGTTCCTATAGCTCCAAAATATATTCACCCCAACCCTGGAAGGTGGCCAAGCCTCAGCCTTGATGCTTTGGGAAGGCATCTTGGCTTCTCTCACACCAGGAGCACAACTGAAGGGCAAGGAGTGACCATGAGTGGCCAAGCACGGGTGGATGGAGCTGAAGGGGAAGGGACCCTTGGGGACAGTGCCCACAGCTCGGGGCCAGGCTCTGGCTGCGATACCTGCGCCCGTGCCCCCTTATCACCCCACTGTCCACAGACCGATGACGGGAAGGACAAGGCTGCCAGGCCACCTCCCCCGGCGCACGCAGCGGCGCCTGATATGCTGTCCACCCACCAAACCCAGCCCAGCACGGCCTCTCCAAGGTCACCTCCAACCCGGGACCGGCCCCAAAAGCTCCACAGCCTCCAACTTCATGACAGCCTCCAGCCCCGTCATGTGCAGCCGGGGGCTGCCTGGGCTTCCCCATGGGGTTTGAGGGCTCCCTCATCCCCATGGGACCAGCTCTGCAAGTCCACCCATCAGCTGTGGGAGGGTGAAGGTCTCCCACCCCACCTTATGGTACCCTGGACATGAGAATGTGGGCAGGAGCGGCTCAATGCGCGCCCTTTACCCCTCTTTGCCATAAAGGGGATTTCTGGTGCTGCTTTCAGATTAACTTGCAACTTAGTCATAGCAGCAGGGCTGTTTTACCGGGGACAAATCACGGTGAGCCACGCTGCAAGGCTGAGCAGAAGAGCTCAAGAGCGGGAAAGTGCAGGGAGGTGTCTGTGGGCAAATTACATTGACTTAAATTTCCGCATTTTGGTAAACGTGGGGCTCAACACCTCAGATCTTGGGGCTGCTGTTTCTCCCTGTCCCATGCCCATTTGTTCAAAGCTCTGAGAATCACAAACCATCCCAGAAGTGTCTGATCTTATGACACAGAGAAGAGCGTTGGGTTTTTTTCCATGATATGGAGAAGCAGCCAAGCTTTCAGGTGCTGTAAATAAAGGCACTTGCTGGCTCCGAGGCTGAGCGACCTCCGCGCCGGCTCCCCCCACACATCCCAGCAGTGAGTTGTGCTTCGGCTGTGTGGACCCGGGCGGCCGAGCTCTCACAGCTGCCTCGTGTAGGGGGGCACACCGGCACCATGGGGCCTTTCCAACTTTCCTCCTGCCCCTGTCACCCTCCAGCAACCACGACCCACTGATACCAATACACATAGCACATCCAACTCCACAAACAACTCCTGAGGCTGATGGCGGGGCAGTAAGGCAGCATGAGCACATCAAAAAATAACAATAATTAGCAGCAGATAATTTCTAGACCTTAACTTGCAGAAGAGCTCTTCAGTGCAGACCTATGCACTGAGATCCGCTGGGGACTCAGAGTGTTCCCCTGCAGAAGTGTCACCTTCAGCACAAGAGGGGGACCTGGCACAAGGGGGGACACAACTTTTAGGAGAAGGGAGGATGCTGTGGGAGGATGGCAGAGGTCTAGCTGGGGGAAGCCATCCCTGGCCTATATGGGACCAGCATTTCCAACAGGCATTGTAACCCCAGATGCTGCACCCCCCTTTAGTACGGGCTTCCCTGTGATGTGGGGGGCAGCCGGGCAGGTGGCTGCCAACTCCCGCTGTGCCCGGTGCCAACTCGCCCCCCTACAACACCCGTGGGGTCACACGCAGCCGGGGCTCCCAGGGCGGGGAGGGGGGAGACGCTGGGTGCTCCCCCCAGCACACCTCTTCCCCAGCAGCACAAACAAGGCTCCGCGCAAACCCCAGCCCCGCGCGAACCCCAACTCCGTGAGAACCCCAACAAACACGCACAGTCGACCCCCCCCCCGCGACGCCGGATCCCCCCGCGAAGCCCAGCCCAGCAAACCCCCGCAGCCGGTACCTTGCCGCCGGCGGGGCAGCAGCGCAGGGCGCTGCCGGTGCCGCCCATGGAGCCCCCCCCGGCCGGGAGCCCGCTCAGCCGCGGGGCGCGGGGCGCTGCATCCCCCGGCGAGCGGCTGCCGCTGCCCGGTGGGACGGGACGGGACGGGACGGGACGAGCTGCCCCAGCTGGCAGGGAGAAAAAAAAAAAAAAAAAAAAAAAAAATTAAAAAGAAAAAAGAAAAAAAAAAAAAAAGAAAGAAAAAAAAAAAAGTCCCCGCAGCTGCTCGCAGGCAGTGCCGGGAGAGGGTGCTCTGCACCCCCGAGCCGCGGGCAGGGCCCCCGCCGCAGCCAGCCCGCCCCCAGGGCTGGCCCTGGGCCCCCTCCACTCTAGGGTGTCCCCGCCCTGGGTGCTTCGTCCCAAGTGGGACTCCCCCGGCCCCGGGAATGCTCTGTTCCTGGGGTCCCTTGCAATGAGGATGCTCCATGCTGGGTGGGGGGAAAGGGGAGCGGGACCCCTACACCAGGGCAAGGGTCCAGCTGGAGCAGCGCTGCTTCAGAGGCTTCCACTGGCAAACCCACCCCAGGCCCCTGGGAGAAGGGATGTAAGGGGCAAAGGCAGGATCCATCCTGGCTTTAGCCATCACCCCATCAAGTTTCAGCTTGTGCTGGGGCAGTTGGGTAAAAGTGGTAACTCTGGGGTGTTTTCTTCTGTCAGGAGCTCTGCTCTGGGGGTATCTGTGCTGGCTGGAGGGGGACTCTCGGTGTGGTCCATACTGCCTGGGGGACTTCATCCTGGAAACCCCACTCTTGAGCATCCCCAACATCCCAAATGCTGGGCCTGGAGCCAGAGTGCTCTTTTCCAAGAGGAAATCCTGCACTTTGGAAATTGATTCTGAAGAGGTAAGGAAACACATGGATTTGCAAGTGTTCTGTCTAAAAATTAATGGGAGGAAAGCAGGTTCCTCCAAATGTTTTGGTTTTGATGATTTTTTTAAATGGTGAAATAATAGGCATTTCTAAATGAACACACATTCTGACCTGAAAAGTCAACTGTTGCCTCCCAGCACTGCTGAAATAGGAGTGTTTCAAGCTGGTCACAAGGCTGTGCCCATATGGAAACGCTGCCAGTTTTTGTCAACAAGTTTCTATTCTGACATTTTCCAAATAACCCCTGGGAGAAGTCCAAGCAGCCCGCAGCTCGGGGGCTGCCAGCACACTGGTGTTTCGCCACCGCTCCGGCACCGCCTGCCCGGCCAGCCAGGGAGTGGAGGTGTGTGGTCACCCCATCACATGTGACTTGGAGGGTTTTTTTCTACACTGGTAATCCTGGGACCAGGGAAATTGTGAAACACCACTTGGATAGGAGGGTAGGGAAGACGAGGGGCAGACCCACTGCTGCCCCAGGTCTCCTGGGGAACGGTGGGACCAGTTTCCCCCGTCCTTGTGGGTAGGTGCTGCTTAACCTGGGTGAAGTTTTATGAGTCACAGCAGCTTCCTGGCAGCATCTCCCACCTCTCAGAAACCACCAGAGCGTCTCTGTTCTTATCTCTCCCAGCACTTCATGCATGAGGCAAGTCTCCTTCCCAGCCTGGAAGTACTTATTTGGGCTGAGATCTTTTGTGAGATAAAAAGTTTGTCAGTGCAAGGTGCTGGTCTCCACCTCTCCAGGGTTAATTAAAAATCCTGGTCCAGACTTTGACAATTGAAGGCATATAGGGGCAAGCACAAAAGCACATGCGTATTTCCAGTCTGAATTTGCATCTCTGGGGCCAAGGCTGTGAGAAGAATGCAAGTGTGCGGGCAGCTGTTGAGGAGCCTGTCCAGCTGCCATCATGTCTTGCTGGTGCACAAAGGTCCAGGAGTTCGCACATGTGCTTGGGGTAATTTCTAGTTTTAACTGTGAGGCACTGAGAGGGTTCACTGGGATGCCCCTGTGCCACAAAGTGGGGCTCTGGGTAGGGTTCCTCTTGCTAATGGTGGAGAAAAAACAGCAGGTTTAGTCATATCAGGCTGAGGCATCAGACCAGCAAAGCAGAGCTGGGGCTTGGGGACAGGGCTGTGCAACGAGGCCGGCTCCAGCACCCCACTCCCCAGCCTCGCACCCCACGCTGCCGCTGCGGGCTCTGCTGTGCCGTGCTCACCATGGCAGCTACAACCCTGCACTTCTATAAACCACTAACTTTCCTAGAAGGAGCCGCACCAGATCACGTTATACCCTTCCTTCAGCCCGCAGGCACATCTGCAAGGCTGCCTGCCACAGGCCCTGCCCGTGCTACCCCAAATGTTTCTTATTTTAGTTTTATTTTAGCAATCTCTCAGTTTCTCCAACCTTTCCTGAGTGGGCTGCATGGGATGTCTCCCTGGGGGAGAGATCTCCCATCTCAGACCTGCTTCATCTTCCTCTGCCCCAATACATTGATAACTTGCTCCCTTTGCAGGGCAGCACTTAAACACCTAGAAACTTTTCTATCCAGCTGCTTTTGAGCAAAGCAGGAGCCTTCCACGGTGGTGTAGGGGTGGGATTCATGCCTGCAACAACTCATCCCCCTCTCCCTAACCAGAGCAGCCTGGGGAGCACATGGGGCTGGGGCTGCTGGAGGCTGCTTGCAGACGGCTGGTGACAATGGGACTGTGGCAGCGAGGGGATTTTTGCTCGTGCAAAGACAGGAAAATGGAGGCGGTGTGTGGCAGACCCGCCTGGGGCAGCCTCAGCTTGTTTTGAAGTTTGCCCTGATGTCTTTTTCGGTGTTATGTGATATATCCCCAGGAACAACAGCGGCTGAAGTCTCGAGAGTTTTGCCTGGAAGAGTGAGCCTAGGAGGGTTTATCTCATGCTCAGCTGAATTGCCGTAAATGGGATAACAGCTGGCTGAATGTCGAGTTAATTTGTACCGATGGTCATTTAAAGTGTTTGCAAAAGCTTATGGATAAGAGAAGTATTTATGCAAGCTGTTAAAGTGTCTCTGCTCTTTCCCCATTTCCAGCTGGTAAGGACTGGGCAGGACAGGGTGGGTACAAAGCGGTGTCAGTGCCAGTCCATGGGATTTCCATCAGGGACCTGGGGACCTGGCCCTGCATGGTCTGTGTGCAGGGTGGTCCTGTGAATGCAGATGGGGTCTTTTTTTTTTTTTTTTTTTTTTTCTTCTTTTATTTTCAGAAACCCAGTCTGGAAAAAAAAAGAAGGGGGAGAAGATTTCTGGAAGGTTTCTGGGTGATGAGCTGACCCATGGCAATGCCCAGCAGGTCCTGGCAGAGCAGGCAGCCCAGGCAGTGGAGAGAGGGTGGTCTGTGATTGCACCCTTCAGCCCTGTACAGCATTTGCAATCTGTTTGATTTTGTAAATGAGACCTAAGGAAGTCGTTAATGCCGTCACCCATCTGTGCTGGTTGCTCTTCTTCAATGCAAATCGAAGATGTTTAGCCAGTTCTGCTGAGACCTCCTGACTCAGGCTTTGCATGGGTGAGATAGCTCAGAAAACTATTTGAACTGCAGAGGATTTTGCATGTGTTGGAGCCCAGAAAACGGTCACAGACTCCTTTGGTGGGGATCTAGGTCACGCATGCTTCTGTCTTGAGTTAGAGCAGTGATTTCAAATAATTTCGGTCCCTGCCTGTGTTTTTCCAAGCAAAAAGATGTGAGTTAACCTGTCATTACAGTCCTTTATTCTCTTTTTTCCCCCATGGCAAAATGGAGGGGGGAAGGATGGGACTGGGGGGAGTGAAACCTTCACCCACGCTGGTTGTGAGAAGCTCTGCTCCCCTCCCGGCCCCAAACATGGTGCTCTGGCCATGCCCATGCCTCTCCCCATACATCCCCGTCCCCATCCCAGTCCCCCGGCTGCTCCGGGGCCTCAAAGTGAAAACTAATCCCAGGGGATAACTTTCCGCCCTGCTCCCAGGCGTGAGGAACAGGGCTATTTATTCCTCACCCTTAAGCCTCCCCAGAGGATCAGCGATGCAGTTGTCGCTGCCGGCGCAGGGTGGGCAGCAGTGTCTGCCACGGCCCCTGCCCGCTCCTGCGCCCTGCCGTCACGCTCCCGGCCGGCCTTGCTGCTAAATAAGGATGAAAGGCTAAAAATAGAGCTGAGACAAGGGTTTGGATAAGCTGGGCAACCCTTCCCAGGGCTGAGAGTGATAGGGGGAGGCCAGGCAGAGTCAGCCTGTGAGGGAGAGCCAAGCTGTCTGTGGGGAAGGGTCCCACAAGTGAGGTGGGGCGGGGGAAGGTCTGAGACCTGCCGCACTCGTGTCCTGTGTGCTCAGTCGGCTTGGCCCCTTCCAGCTTTCCACAGGGAGGGGAAAACCCACGCTCCTGTTCACTAAAATATATGGGAAAACCCACGCTCCTGTTCACTAAAATATATGGGAAAACCCACGCTCCTGTACCATCTGTGATGGTGGGGTACTGTGGGGCCATTCCAGTGCGATACGGGAGCTTGGGGCAGCTCTGGCTGGACAATGGGCACCCAAAGGGGAAAAGGTGGAAGAGAGGAGTGTTAAAACTGAAATGGAGGGTAGGTGGGTGGCGGGAGTGGGGTGCTGTGGCCAACAGCCCAGTTGGGGAGTGCCTGACACCTGTGTGTTGTTGTTTCCCCCCAACCCAGTACACATGGCACCCGGTTCAGGGTCTCAGATTATCTTTGCTCTCCAGCTGCCGCCTGCCCTGGGGGGGTGTGCGGGGGTCCCGGGTGCCGGTCGGGGTTGGGTGCAGCCCCTTTGCACACCCGCAAACCTCTGGGGCAGACAGTGGAGTGCAAGAAGAGATACAGCCCGGGGGGGGGGGCGGGGGGGAGGGGAGAGGAACACGCCGAGCGGTGGGGAGATGGTCTGGTCTCACCCCCCGAAGCTGGGTGGTGTGGGTGGCCTGGTGTGGTGGGTACACCCCGACCGTGAAACACCCCCCCACCCCCCCCCCCTTCCCGTGCAGGGGGCAGGCCCTGGGTGCCTGGGAAAGCGCAGCTTCCCGTCCCAGCATCCCTGCAATTCCAGTCCTGAGCTTGACAACAAAACCAGGGAGGGAAGAGGGAAGAGGGTGGGGGGGAAGAGGAGGGGAAAAAAAAAAAAAAAAAAAAAAAAAAAAAAAAAAAAAAAAAAAAAGGAAGGGAAAATCTTCTAGCGTACACAAGAGGAGGGAGTGGAATCGGGAGTTGGGCCGTCCCACCGCGTAGGGCGGTTCAGTCTCGCCGCTGCCAGCCCCGTCTCGGGGGAAGAGCCCCCGGTTGCCTCCCGACCGGCCTCGCCTTTGGTTTTTCCTCCTCTCGGTGCGTTCCTCCCGCCGGTTTTGCCGCACGGATCCTGCCGGCGCAGCGATGCTGGGAGCGGCGCTGGCGCTGGCGCTGTGCGCCCTGCAGCTCTGCCCGGGCGCGCTCGGCGGCTCGGCCCCGCGGCTGGCGGTGGAGCGGAGCGGGGCCCGGAGGCTGAGCAAGGTGAGAGACACCAAACCCTTCACCCGGCTCCTTTCTGCTGGGCAGGGAAGGGGGGGGGGTCCCGGAGGTGGGGGGGGGGGGTGGGGGGGGCGGGGGCAGCAGCCGGAGCGCTGCAGGGCGGTGGGTTTTACAACCCGCCGGTCCTGCTGGGTTGTACGAGCGATCAAAAGCATTTTCTGCTCCAGAAGGACAGAGTGCAGTGTATGATTCTGGGGCTCGTGTTTGTGGCGGGGGAGCGGGGAGCAGCGGGATCCCGTAGACCTGACCGTGTTGTGGGGGGTTGCAGCGGCGGGCTCGGGTTCAGCCTCGGGGCTGGTGGGGATTTTAATTTTGACAAGCGGTTACGAACCAAGGCGGCCAGCGGCCTCTTCCTTAGGCTGAGCTTTCCCCGCAGCCTCCCAGCACCTCGGCTTTCTCTCCTGATCGTGAGCATTTTCCAGCTCAGGCTGCTGCCTCCTTGTTCCCACGCAGTGCTGGGTCGGGCTCATCAACACGCACTGGTTAAGATACAGCTGATTAGGAAGTGTGACTCTCACGCGGTGCGGAGGGGAATATCTCAGTTTATTTTCCAGGAAAGCTAATGTTGCCCCAGTGAAGGAAGAACCGATTAGGAAGGCTGGAGGGGGGCTCTGTGGGGAAGCGGGGGGTCTGCGGCACAGCAGGACGCAGCCACACACTGATGTTTAGCTCCCATGGAGCCTCTTTGCCTGCAGGCCCGTGGGCAAGGGGCTCCCAGCTCTTGCTAAATGTCGGGGCGCAGTTTGCCCCGAGCCCCACGTCCTGCCCTGCGCCCTGGGCTGCTCCCGGCTGGGGAGCGGGATGGCGGGACAGGCTGCTCGCCTGCGTGGGCAAGTGCTGCCCGTTGGGGCTGCTGGCTGGCACCAGATAAGACAGACTCCACCGGTTCTGCGGCTGCTGAGCAGGCAGGGAGAGCCCCACGCCCGTGGCATGGGGACATGGGCTGCCCCGGCCAAACCTGCTCGGGGTGCGCAGCCCAGGCGTCCTCCTGCCTCCCTGCCAGGAAAAAAAACTGCAATTAGGCTGGAGCTTGTTTGGGGAGGGAGCTGGGGCAGGGCGCTTGCCGCCGGCTTGCGGCGGGCTCAGGGGTGGCTGTTTTCAGGTGAGTGCTGCCATCCCCCTGCCTTTGAATTTGGGCTGTGGGAGCAAAGGGTTCCTGTGGCTTTGCTGGCAGTGGGACTCGGAGGAAACAGGGGAGATCTCCCAGCCCGTCCAGGACACATAAGCAATGTCCCCCCATCTGGGTGACATCCCCTGTGTGTAGATTTTCATTACCACATGGGACAGTACTGCTTCCCTGGCTCATTTGGACTGAATCGGCCCAGGATCAGGCCCCTAGGGTGTATCAGAGAGGGGATGAGCCCAGCTCATCTGCCTCCTGAGCATGAGCAGAGGTGGAAATGTTAAGCTGTGTTTAAAATGCAACACATGAGTGTCATTTCTGCTTCTGCGTGGGACCAGGTGGCAGGAGCCAGTGGATGAGGCTGGTCCTGGGCTGTGCTGGCTCCACAGCCCCAGGATGCTTCTCACCTTATTCACATGCAAAATGTTTGGAGGCTGAGCTGAGGCAAGTTTGGAAATTGCAGCCTGGGAACCTTCTTTGGGTGTAAAGTACAGGCAGTGGGGGCCAGATGAAGAGTTTCTGCAATGCCCTTAGGCTCAGAGAGTTGGGAGTGTGAAAAATGCAGAGGGAAATATTTATCTGGCATTTGAAGAGGGGCTGAAGGTCATTTTCTGGCTGTGTTTGTGAGCTGATGTTTGCGGGGGGGTTTAGGGATCCAGCATTGGGGAAACCTCCTGCAAACCCAGGACAAGGCTCACCTTGGCTCTAACTCCTCCTGTCCCCTGGTGTTGCAGTTGGGTGGCTTTGCCTGGGAAAACTGCGGTGATAAGAGGGACCCAGTGGTGCTGAAGAGCCTCTCCGTGGCACCCGACCCCATCAGCATCCCGGGGAGCCTGCGCATCAGCGCGGCCGTCAGCAGCAGCAAGACCATGGCCTCCCCTCTGAAGGTACGTGCTGGAAGTGCCTCTGCGGGACGAGGGAGGGCAGAGCTTCCCGAAGCCACCAGCAGCTGGGATGTGCCCAGCAGCGGGTACGGGAATGAGCAGCCCTTGGGGGAGCGGTGCAAGGCTGAGCAGACCTGTCTCTGTAAGCCAGAACAGGGCGATGGGCACGGGGAGAACCGTGGTGGGAGCAGACAGACCAGTGGGAACCTGCCAGACTTGTCCCAGTGGGAGAAACCACCTGAGCTGTGCCATGTCCTGGGGATATAATGACTCAGGGAGAGAAACGAAACCCCAAGTGCCCTGGGTGCTCCCGGTGGTTGCTGCAGCACTTGTTTTTCAGTGCCCAGACCCGGCTGCTCCATCCAGGGACATGCCATGGCACCGCTGTGGGAGCACTGGGCTGGCCTGGCTGCTCTGCATCACTTTTTTGGGGACTTTTTGGAATGAGATTGAACACGTCTCTCTGCCCAAGGTGCATGGGCTGTCTTGAGCAATGCCCTGTTGCCTGTTTGGGGCTGGGGCTACGGGGAGCGTGCCGGGGGAGCGCGGAGGCAGAGCTGCGGGATGGAAGCTGCCAGGTGGTTTTGGGACAGGGCACCGAAGAGAGGAGAAGGAGGGGGTGTGTGGGGTGCTGAGAGGTGTTTGCTCAAGGTGTCAAGGTTGGAGGAAGAGAAACCTGCAGGCAGAGAGGAACCAAAAGCAGGATGGGGAAGCAGGAGCATGTGTGGTGGCCCCATGGACACCCTGAAGAATTGCATGATCAGGAGCTGAGGGAGATAGCTGGGGAGTGTGTGTGTGGGGGGACAGACTGGAGGAACCGTGGGTGCCCATGCTGGCTGTACCAGTGCTGAACACTTTCTCTCCAGGCAGTGCTGGTGGTAGAGAAGGAGCTGGGTGACCTCTGGATCCAGCTGCCCTGTATCGACCAGCTGGGCAGCTGCACCTACAACGACGTCTGCACCATCCTCGACAACCTCATCCCGCCCGGCACGACCTGCCCAGAGCCCCTGCTCACCTATGGCATCCCCTGCCACTGCCCCTTCAAAGCGGTACGTCTGAAACCCCTGGCTGGCGTGATGCCGACAGCGCTGCTGGGTAGCACCGTGCCCTTCGCTGTGGGGCTGGGGAGGTTTGGCTGACGTCTTGCCAACATGTCCCCTCTCTCTGCAGGGCTCCTACTCCCTGCCAGCCAGCGACTTCATCCTGCCCGACGTGGAGCTGCCTTCCTGGATGACCAACGGCAACTACCGCGTTCGGGCGGCCGTCAGCAACGGCGGGGAGGAGCTCGCCTGCATCAAGCTGGCCTTCTCCCTGCAGTCCCAGTGAGGGGTGGGGGGACCTTCATCCCCTGTCCCATCCTATCCAGTTGCACCCCAGCTTGTCCCACCCCATCCCTGTGAGGTGCATCCCTCCTGCTTCCAGGAGGAGGCAGCCCCTGTACCCTAACTCAGTTCCCTCCCCTCCCCTGCTACACACAGAAAGGCCCCTCTGGCTGTCCTGCTGTCCCCAAGCCCATCACCAGGGTGTCCCCTGCCCTGGACAGGGTGGTCTTGGAGCCTAACCCAAGCCTTTCAGTGTGACCTGGGGGTAGTCTTTTTTTACCTAGTTTCATTTTTTTTTTTTTTCTCTCAATCCTATTGGCAATTTTAGACAAAAACATTCCAGGGAAAAGCAATATTACTTGGAGCAGTCCATGGGGAGGAAGGAGTGTTTGGGCAGTGCTGGGGCAGGCTGGAGAGATGCAGGATTAGCTGTGGAGGGTGTTGCCACTTGCCCTCACCACCTCTGGCCAGAGCACGGGGCTGTTTTGCAGAAATGTCCCCGGAGTGGCCACAGGAGACCTGTGCCACTCCCCCCCCAGCAGCTTTGGGTCTGCCTTTGGCACATCCCTGTCCTGTGTGTGGGACCAGCTTGGTAACACGTGGCACTGGTGAGGGTACCTCTCCATGTCCCTCCTGCGACAAATGTCACAAGCACAACAGGACTGAAACCACCCAAACCCCCAACAGAAATTCCCACTCGTGAGGGACCAAGTGGCTGGTGCTGTTCCCAGGAGAACATCTCTCCCTGGAGAGATGGCTGGACCCGGGCTGTGCTCGCTCTGAAGTGGGGGACACACAACACAGCTGTGACGGGCACAGCCTGGCCGAGGAAAAGTCCCACTCATCTCATTTTGCCACTGGGACTGAGCCAAAGTGGGACGCTGCGCTGGGACCAGCCTTCCAGTGCACTGGCAGAGGCACCCCTGCAACGTGAAGCAGCATCCTGGACATGGACTGGAAGATGACTGTGAAGACCGGCAGCCTGGGTCCTGTTTGGGGGCCTTGCAGCCCATCTCCTGGTTGTGGTCGGGGGCTGAGGCAGGGGCAGGCATCATCCTTCCTACCTGCAGCTCCGGGGACAGGGCATGTGACATTGCCAGCCTATGCCAGGTCCCCACAGGGCAGAGGTGCAGGTGACCCACCAGCCACCCACATCCCTGTTTCCCTCTCTGTCCCTGCCTGCTTGCATTATTTAGTCTCTCCATAGGGCTGGTCTTCCTCCAAGCACTTTATACGCCTTAACTACTGTTGGGCTGCCCTGGTGGGAGGTCCTCTGCCACGCAGATGTGCTCCCACCGCCTCTTTGTGCCATCGACTCTTTCCATTTCATCCTGCTGCTGGGTCTGACCCGGGTTTGTTTTGCCTGGAGAAGCACTAACACTCTCACCCTGCCACCACGCAGCACCTGTGCCAGGGCAGCATCCTCCTTTCAGGCAGGTACTGCTGGTTCTTAATAAATCTTTTTACCAGGAAGCAGAGCTGGTGCCTCTTAGTGCTGGGAGTGACCTGGGGATGGCATTTGTTTCCCTTGCAATAGCGGGGATGTGGCATTGGGGCTCGGGTGGGGGATGCTGCGGCCAGAAGAGCCGAGTGTGAGCAGCCCTAAGGCCGGCTCCTGTGCGAGGGGCACAACGGGGATCTGCAGGCGCTGCTTTTGGACACAGGGACACAGCCCCCGCCTCCGGGGGACACAGCCCACGCTGGTGGTCACGGGCGTGGGTCGCTTGTCCCCGCGACCATCTTTCTCCCTGCCAGCCTGCCTCGCTCTGCAGGCCTTGCCCAAGGAATAGCCCGGTTGGGGCAGGGTGCTCCTCGTTGACCACGCGTGGAGGGGTTCGGGGCTCAGCCGTGCCCCTATTTGCCCGACTCGTGGCAGCGGGGCCCGCCCCCCCCCCCCCCCCCCCCCCCGGCAAGCGCGCCCGCGGCCACCGCCGCGCCCGCCAGGCGGCGCCGCAGTGCCCGGCCGCGCCTCGCCCCGCCCCGCCCCGCCCCTCCGTCCGCTTTGCCCCGCCCCTCCGTTCGCCCCGCCCCGCCGCACCTCATCCTGCCCCGCTGCGCCTTCACCGCGCTCCGTGCGCAGGCGCGGGCGTCGCCGCGGTCAGCTGAGCCGGCTGTCACGTGACGGCGCGGCCGAGGGAGCGGGCCCAGCGGGGGCTGCGCGGGGCGGCGGCGAGGTGCGGGACCGCGGGGGGGGGCGGCGGCGGCGGCGGCGAGGAAAGGGGGTGCGGTGGGGGGGCTGTCAGCTGGCTGTCAGCATGCGGGGCGGCTCAGGGATGCACGGGGGAACCGGCAACCCGCGGGGTGCTCAGGGACGCGGCGGGGGGGCCCGGCAGCCTGCGTGGGTGCGCGGGGTCCCGGGGGTGCTGTCAGCCCGAGTGGGTGCGCGGGGGAGCTGGGGCGCGCTGATAGCCCTTATACGTGGCTGGGTGTGTAGGAGGGTGCTCAGAGCCCTGGCAGCTCCCGTGAGTGCCCGCCGATCCCTGGGGGTGCTGGCATCAGGCGTGGGTGCTCAGGGGTGCAGAAGTGTCCTGGCAGCCAGCGTGGGTGCTCAGGGGAGCTTGGGAGGTGCTGATAGTCCGTATAGGTGGCCATGTGGGTGCGGGGATACTCAGAGTGTGGGTGCAGAGTGGGGTGCTGTCAGCTTGCAGGGGTGCCCAGAGGTCCCCAGGGGTCCTGGCAGCCTGCAGCAGTGCCTCAGGGTGCCCAGAGCCCTCGTGGGGGTATGGATTTGCTCAGACCCTGCGTGGGTACCCAGGGGTGCGTGCTGGTGTTGCCCTGCAGCGGTGCTGGCAGCCCGTGGGATCTCCCTTTAAGTGTCTGGGGGTGCCATGCAGCGGGGAGGGGTGGGGCAGCACCCCGCAGGGTGTGAGGTGCTGGTAATGGTGTGGGCTGCTGTGTGGCACTGTGGGGAGGGTGCAGGGAGCCCCGTGCTCTGTGGGGTGCAGCTGTGCTGCTGTTGGGGGGGGGGGGGGGGGGGGATACGGGGTGGGGTGGGAGCGGGGCGGCACAGCACAGGGGCTGGGGGGGGAGTGGGGGTTGTGCCAAGCAGCCGGGCTGGGGGGGCCAGGCTGTGCTGCGAAGCACTGGGGAGGTGAGTCTGGGTGTGACTCTGGGACTGGGAACACTGGGTAACACAGGGATGAGGGGACTGGTGCTCTGGGGAGGCAGCTGATGTGGCTGTTGTGTCTGGGGGGGGGGGTTCGTGCCAGTGTGGGCATTGCGGGCTGGGGAAGGGGCTTGGCTGCAGTGTCCCTGTGGGCAGGGGAGTGGGGCAAGGCGGGAGGGGAGTCTGGCAGTGCCAGCTCTACCTTGTGTCACGCTGAGGCAGGTCACAAGCAGCACCTTGGAAATAAAGGATTCAACACGCGTTACGGGAAGCGGCAGTGAGCTTTGATGTGCAGCTCACTTTTCTGGAAGATTTTGCATTACCTTATTCCGCACGCAGCCCCTGCTCAGCTGGGGAGAGCTGTCGGGGTCAGCAGCAAGTTCCATCTTGCTTTTGACTTCTGGCGTGGGGTTGTCACTGTAAGGGACAAGTTGCTGTTGCCTCAGTTTTCCTCAGCGCTTCGCTCACCAGCATGAAATTGTTAGTGTGTATGGGGGGGTGGGGGAAACGCACATGAAAGTGGCTGAGGAGTTGGGTTTAAAGTGGAAACCAAATGTGGCTGTTCCTGTCTTTGCTCTTTGTAATGACGAGGAAATGATGTGGTGGGGTTTTGCTTCAGTTTGAAATATTCGTTGTGTGGATGAGACAAGTTTTGCAGCTTCTTCTTGTTGATCACGGGGGAGCTGAGTGCTTGCTCCCTGCTGCTATGCAACCTTTAATCCAGCCACAAAGAAGGCAAGTCATGATGAACACATTTCCCTGGCTCTTCAAAGCAAAAAGCAGCTGGGCCTGCTTGGGGGAAAAAAAAAAATAAATCACGGGGAATGAACAGGCAGACTGATGTAACTGTGTTGTGTTTTATCTTGAGGATATTGCTGCTGGGTACTTCAGATAACATGCAGGCCATCTTTGGGGAGGGGTATCCATGCCTGACCCAACTCTGGCCCCACCTCTGCCTGCTGTCCTTGCCCCCAACCAGCCCTTGGTGCTTGACAGAGCCTCCCAAGCCTCTCCCTTGCCTCTCGGGCCTGTCACTGATGACAAAGAGCTTCTAACAATTTCCTTCTGTAAACTAATGCTGCTGTTCTTCCCGGTCCCTGCCTCGTCGGATCACCCTGCCTGCAGTGGAGCTGGTTCAGGGCATGATTTCATGGCCTGGCTGGGCAGGAGTGATGCATGTGCTGCCTTCGGCTCCAGAGTGCCGGCCTGCGAGCCGGGCTCACCGCTGCTCTGGAGGCTGGTATTGCGCAGGACGGGCTGGCCCTGCTTGCTGCTGCTGGTGTTGCCTGGTGCTGCAGGAAATAAAGTAGCGTTGTTGCGGCCTGGGTAACTGCTCCCGAGCAGCTGGGATCTGAAGCAAGCATCCAAAGTTGAGCAAAGTCCCTTTTGCTCTCCCTGCTTCCCTTCTGGTTGCAAGCGGGGACCCTCCCAGCGATTGCAGCTCTTGGCTTGTTTTTGAACGTAGCAGCCAGGTTTGCAGAGAGCGGGGGGGATGCCTGGGGGCTCTGGGGGTGGAGCAGGACCCCAGCAGCTTGGGCTGAGCTTTCCCTGCACAGCCAGATGTTTAGATCTGTGCCGGGCCGCATCCTGTGGGTGCTCGCGTGACCCGGCAGGCGCTTGAGGAACCCTCTGGCAGGAAACAAGCCCATTTGCAGTAGCGATATTTCTCTGCTGCTTCTGCTCAGCCCCAGCCCGCTCCCCATCAGCAACTGGGAGGGCTGGGACTGCGGGGGTGATGCCTGGGACATGACACCCCAGAGGACCCCTGGGACAGGGACTAAGTCGCCAGGTTGTCTGGCAGAAGCCTGATAGATGATTTCACTGCCTCTGGTTCTTCCTGGTGGGCACTTGGGTTGCTGGGTGGAGGCAGGGGGCTGGAGGAAGCAAAGGCTTTTTTTGGGAGGAGAGCAGCAGGCATTGCAGGAGCTGTTCAGGGCACATGTGGGAATTAAACCAGCTGACTGCTTTTCAACTGAAGGCAGGAGGCTTGTGTGCTTGGTGAGGGCTCATGCCCGTGCTCCTGGCTTGCAGGACCCTGCTGTGGTTTTCGCTGCAGTAAGAGCTCTGGGTTGGGCAGGTGCCTCACCCTGGGAAGCCCCTTAGTCCTGTAGGCACCTTCGTGGCTGTGAAACCTTTAGAGTGGGTGATTTGCTGTTGGCATGTAGGCTGTGGTCCTGCCTGATGGAGCATAATCAATTCTAAAAAATTATTTTTAATAAATAGTCTTTAAAAAAAAAAAAAAAAAGTTAAGAAACTTTACCTTCCCTGGCAAGATCAAGCTGTTCCCTTGCAGAAAACTCTGTGAGTTAAAAGCAGTAGCTCTTTTCTGGCCATCCTCTTGAAAACCCTGCACACTGCCAGCATGTTTCTCCCTGTCCCGCTGCCTGTGGCTGTGGTGCCACACTTGCCACCCTTGGGGCAGAGCTACACAGGTCCCCTTGCCTGAGGTGAAGAGGGTCACATCCAGGCTGTGACTGCAGGGCCCTGAGCCCCTCCTGCCTGGGTGTGCCCAAAACGAGGGCACCAGTCTGCAGGAAGAGCCGGTGGGAATGTGCAATGCACCTTTGACCTTAGGACATGCCAGCTCCGTAATAGCTTGGGCGGGAGCGCATTGCTGTATAAAAGCCCTGGAGGAGACCTTGCTCCAGCAGTACGAGTAGGTGTCTCTGCACGATGGCTGACCCCAAGGAGCCTGAGAAGGGGGCTGTCGAGCTGGGCACCCCTAATGCAGCTCCCTCCGCAGGGACCATGTCCACCCGGCGCCTCCGCAGCGAGGATTACAACGACTACAGCTCCACGGATGTGACGCCGGAGGGGAGCCCGCCCGGTGGCATGAACGGTTTCGCCCACCCTGAGTCCTACCAGCGCTTTGGGGAGGCCAATGGGACAACGTGAGTGATGCTTCCTTCCTTCCCGGGCTGATGCAGCACCTGGGGAGGGTGGAGGAGGTAACGGTGGCTACCTCCTGCCTGCCAGCTTTGCTGGAGGATGGTGGAGCCATGGTTTCATTGGGAATCCCTCCTGGGGGTGGTGAGGGCAGAGCTGTGGTCCTGCTTCTGTGGGGTGCTGGCACCAAGTGAGCAGCCACCCCAGTGTTGCTCTCTGCTCTCCAGTGAAGCTGGACTTGCTGGCAGCAGGCAGTGTTTGATGCTTTTCCAATATTCACCATCTCTAGCTAGGTTCGATGGGGAGTTGTGTGGAGCAAACAGCAAGCTCAGCTTAAGAGGATATGTGGGAGCTTCCTCATGCCTTATTCACCCAGCTGGGCAGAGGATGCCGTCTCTGCCCACTGGGGCCCAATACCTTCAGCTCGGAGAGTTTCTTGTGCAGCCACTCAGTGTTAGGCTGCGCTCACGCTGGATTTTGCTTCAAAGCTGGTTCTGCAAATGCCCGCCCAAAATCTGTTTGTTTGAATATTTGCCTCCAGTCCTTCCTTATTCCCACTGGACTGAGCTGGGTTCAAGGGACGGGATCTGGACCTCTGCGTGCGCGTTTCCCACAGCAGCTCAGAGCTGCTGGGCCCTGAGCAGCATGACCCGAGGGCTGAGACTGTGCGTGGTCTGGGCGCGGGTGTCTGCTGATGGACATCTCTGCATCTTCTCTCCCTCAGGTGGTACCAGACCCTGATCCATCTCCTGAAGGGGAATATTGGCACGGGGCTGCTGGGGCTGCCTCTGGCTGTGAAGAACGCCGGCATCCTGGTAAGGCAGCTCTCAGCCCTGCTGTGTGGGAGCTTGTGGGGCAGAGTGACCTCAGGGCCTTGGGCAGCTTGCATGATTGGGGTTAGGGCTTGACTCCCTGCTGAGATGCCTCTTGGTGCTAGGCTGCTTGTGAGTTTTTGCACTGTGGGCTCTGTTGCTTGCTTCATTTGCTGTTCTTGCTGCTCCTGTGTTGTGCTGGCTGGTCTCCAGGAGTTCAGTGTGTGAGTGGGGGGCAGTGGTTTGCTCTGCTGGGGTCAGGCATGGTGCTGGGTCACAGCCTCTGTACCCAGCTGGGTGTTACCTTCCTGGCCTCTGCGGCAGGCTCCCAAAACACTCCGTGCTGCATTTGGATGACATCTCACCCTGATCATGGCAGGGTCAGCACGGCTTCCACCTTGGTTTGTCCCAGCCAGTCCATGCTGAACATGCTGTGTGCCTCCTGAGGGTCCTGCAAGCCCAGCACACACATAACGAGCCCAATCGGTCAGCAGTTAACGCTGGTGATGAGAGATGGAGGCGTGCTTCCTTCTGTGGAGTTTCGTGTGGGCTGGCCCAGCCTCGCAGCTCTGGCCGGGTTGAGGTCAGTGGATGTGATGCATCTTTGCTGCCTGAGGGCTGAGATCACATTTGGAGGTCAAACAGCAGCCCCTGGCCACCGTCACTTCTGTCCTGACGCTCAGCTCCTCTGTGTCTGTATCATGCCCCAGAACTGCTGTCTGTGCGAGAGGTGGGGGCACCTCGCTGCTCTGCTCCGTGTTTCCTCACTCAGCAATGCAGCGTTCCCGTTGCTCAGATTGAAATGATAAAAATAATTTAAAAAGAAACCTTCCTTCCTTCGTCCAGACCATGACTTCTTTGTCACCTGTATAATAGGAATGTGCTAGATAGTTTGAAAAACAATCCTGGAAGCGCTTTGCTATGCCCAAACTGCCCCAGCTTGTTTCTTTTGCATCATTCCTGCCAAACTCGTGGCTCTCTGTGGGGTTTCTTGGTCCTGGTGGGGCTGGTTCACAGGAGCAGCATTGGAACTCCAGTTCAGCCTCCAGTGGTGTTTCAGCTCACCGAGCCGGTGGAGTTTTGTCTGGGAGTAAAACCCATCGTGCAGCTCTCCCTTTGGCCATCAGAGTGCAGTCTTCCCCCTCTCTTCCCCTGCAGCTGGGTCCTGTGAGCCTGCTGGTGATGGGAGTCGTGGCTGTGCACTGCATGGGCATCCTGGTGAGATGTGCCCATCACTTCTGCTACAGGTAAGGAGCAACTCCCCTTCTTGGCACTGCTGCTCCTACAGCTCTTCCTTCCTTCCCAAGAAACTCTGTGGTTTTTCTGAACCCTCCCAGCAGCAAGTTGGCCATGTTGAAGTCTCAGTCAGGGACTGTTTCTGGGCTTTTTCACAGGAACTGTTTTCCCATTAATGTCATAATTTGCCTTGGGAACTCACAGACAGGGCTGATGTGATGTCCCTTCTCTCTTTCTTCTCTGGACAGGTTCCAGAAGCAGTTTGTGGACTATGGGGGTGCTGTGATGTACGGGCTGGAGTCAACTCCCAGCGCATGGCTGCGGACACATGCCATCTGGGGAAGGTACCTGTCCCCAGCTCCAGGCGGGGCACTTGTCTTTAAGCCCAGTGCTGCAGCCGGGACAGAAGAGCTGACTGGTGTCTGAGCTGTGTCAACAGATGAGCACAAGTGACATAATGTTATTTGGCTCACCTACCCTGAGTGCTCAGTGTCCCCCAGGGGGTAACATTGAAGCCTTTGCCCCAGTCCTGTCCCCAGCCAGATGTGGCTTATACTAAAGGAGTGGGAGAAGTAAGTCTCCACAGTATAACAAAGGGGTAAATGACATGTACTGCAGTGCTGGCTCGTCTTGTTAGACACTGAGCATGTCTAATGGCTGCTGTGAGGGATGCTCCCAGCCCTGTGGATGTCCCACACCACACAGATCGTTGCACATCAGATGCTGGGAATATCCACCTATTCCTGTGCCCAGGGAGTGTTGTCTCCAGCTGTAACAATTCAGCAGCAGACTGGAGATGCTGAACCCAACGAGGAGACTTTCCTCCTGAGGCTGGTCCTGACCCTGTGGAGGGGATGGGAGGAAGAGACCAGAGGGCTTGAGATCTGTGAGGTTAGATGGAGATACGGTCCTCTCTCCTGATCATCGAGGAGAAGTGAGCTGGGTGTGCTCTGACCTGCACACCTCGACCCCTGGGGAAAGCAGCATCACTGCAGTGTTGGAGTACAGCCCCAGGCAACCTGAGTGGGCTCTTATTTCTGTATGGGCTGGATTAACAAATGGTCTTTTTTCTTTTCTAGGCGTATAGTGGGACTTTTCCTGATCATCACTCAGTTGGGTTTCTGCTGTGTGTACTTCGTCTTTCTGGCTGACAATCTGAAACAGGTTAGGCTTACTCCCTCCTTCGTGAGCAAGGGGAAGGTGAGAGGGGGTGTGGAAGCACTTGGGTTGTTCTTGGCTCCTGTGTCACGGCCCTGTTCTCCACCAAAGGTCTGGTTTCTGTAACTGATGCTGCTCAGGAAGGTACTACTCCTCTGCCCGGGTATTTTGAAGGGTTGATTTTCCTGTTCAAAGAGGGCAGGTTTCTCTGAGAGTCCCTATGACATTGCTCCATGTGCGGAGGTGCTAGAGCCATCTGTATCACCCCGGGGAGCAGGGGCTGTTCCTAGTGAGGGAGGGCAGGAAAGAGGTGACAGCAGAGGGACTGTGCCTTTGATATCCTGACCACTTTGGTTAGTAAGTTTATTGATAACCTGTGTAGATGGTAACATGTGGGTACCAGAACCTACCAGGAACCTTTCTTCTCCCTTTCTTGGAGTCGCCTGCATTCCAGTTTCTTTCCTCATTCTGTGGCTCTGGAGCTTAATTACATTTTTAGGGAAAGAGTTTCCTTTTTCCAGGAGTCAGGAGGAAATAAACAGAAACCCTGAACCTCTTGGCTGGCTCCCACACTGTAAGAAACTGGGAATGAGTCCCTGTTCCCAGCCTCTACCAGCTTGGTGCCTTGCAGGCACCGCTCAGCATTGTTCCCCTGTGTGATCCTGCTCTTGCTCCATGGTCTGGTCACTACCACCACAGCCGTGGCCTTTGCCTGCCCTTCCCTGATACCCATCAGCTTCAGAGGTGGTTCCCAGGGGAGCAAGGAGGGGCTCTGCCAGTGAGTGCTGGAGGATGAATGGGCTCTGCCTGTGCTCCGGGAGCAGCAGCTGAGGAGATTCCCTTTGGGCTGCGGGGTGGCTGGGAGGAATAAATGGGTGAACGTTGGTGATCTGATGCCAACTGCCCTGAGAGCAAGAGCGAACAGGGTGTGTGCATGGGACTGGGCTGCTGCTGGCCCCCTGCTCCTTGTGAATGGCCCCTTGCTGCTGTTTCAAAGTGGGCTTCTTTCTGCTTGGCCCCTTGCAGCAGAGCCTGAAGGCTGGCTCAAGCTATAAGGCAAATTGGCAAAAATCTGCAAATCCAACCCACTTTAGGCCCCAGCTGAGAAACTCTTTGGCTTCAGGTTTAGAATTTTTTGGGTGGGTGGAGGGGAGCGTTGCTTGTCACTTTTTGTGGTGGGGAAGAGTGTGCTAGATGGGGAGTGATGGTGCAGGTGGTACCTTGGGCGAGGTGCTGCTGTGCTGGGCAGAGCTTTGGTTTGGAAAATTGCTTTGGAACAAGCTGCAGAATGGCAGGGTGGGCCAAGGCTCAAGCAGTACTGCCCCGTAGGTGCATGGCTCTGTGCTGCCCTCTCCCATGGAGGATTCTGATTTGTGGAAAAGCTCTTCAGCCTCTCTGCTGGGGCAAGACTTGCTCTGGAACAGGTGAAATTAGTTTGCGGGCAGCCTTTTACTGCAGTGGCCAGATGACGTCTAGTACACGAACCAGCTTGGTTGTTGTTGTATTGGTGATCCACAGTATGCCCATGCTCTTGGGAGAGGTGGCTCAGCCACCCAGTTCCTGGGGCAGAACTGTCTCTAGAGGTGAGCATGTGGCCTGGAGTGCCTTTGGAATGAAAGACCCCAAGGAAAGGATGGTTTCCCATGAAGAAAGCGAAGTTGGGGGCCAGCAGTAGCTTCTAGATGTCCTTGTATGGGAACAGGGCACTGGGTGACTGAAGGGGTGTGTGATGTTGGGTGTGAAGTGGTGCAGCAAGAGGAGAAGGACCTTTGAGGAAATAGCATTTAATGCCTCTTTCCTCTCTTCTCAACTGACCGTGTGGGCAGTGCAAACCAACCTCTGCCCTCAGTGTGCTCAGCAAGCCTGGGCTCAGGCAGGTTTTTCTGTCTTGGCTCAGGTGCTGTAGCTAGTCCCACCTCTGCTCCTAGCAAGGTAACAGGGATTTACTTTGAAACTGCCTGAAAACCCATGTTGTTTTGATTTTAACTGACTAGCTGTGCTTGAAAGTGAGCTGATGGGGTAGTATTCTGACCTACCTGAGTTGGGCTGCCAAGATCCATGGCTCTCAGACCTGTGCAATGGGGTTCATCAAGCCTTCCTGTGCTTCCCCAGGTCATATCTGCAGCAAACGGGACCACCAACGACTGCAGCTCCAACAGGACGGTGGTGATGACCCCCACCATGGACTCCCGGCTATACATGCTTTCTATCCTGCCTTTTGTGGTGCTGCTCACGTTCATCCAGAATCTCAAGGTCCTGTCCATCTTCTCCATGCTGGCCAACGTGGCCATGCTTGTCAGCCTTGTTGTGATCTACCAGTACATTGTCAGGGTACGTGCGTATGGCTCCCCTCTATTATTTCTGTGATGTTCCATGTTTTGGCAGGTGGAGGGAGCTCAACAGCGGGGTGTTTGCATGCTGTGGGGTGCTGCTCACTCCCATGGACACAGCGGTTGCCCTGTGTTCCGCAGGGCTTTCCCTCTGGCGTGGGGCTGTGATAGGGAGGTCTGGTCCTCCCCATTCTCCCCGCATCTGAACTCTGCATGGGCTTTTTTTCTAGGACATTCCTGATCCCAGTAAGCTGCCTCTAGCAGCAGCCTGGAAGACCTACCCTCTGTTTTTTGGCACCGCGATCTTTGCTTTCGAAGGCATCGGGGTGGTAAGTCTCAGCGTGTGGCAGCGGGGCTGCCTGCACAGGAGGCTCAGCCCATGCTTGGGCTTGCCGCAGCACCTGCTCTGTGTTGCAGCTGTATTTGCAGATGAACTTCTCTGACGGTAGCCCAAATTCTGAACGATGCTGTTAGGTTTAGCCTCCAGGCTATCTCCTGGGTCAAACCCTGTTGCTTCCATCTGAGGCTGGAGGAGCACATGCTCCAAACCTCAGGAGGTTGGTTGCTGCTTTGAAGGTGGCTGTATCTGGCAGTAGATTGGGTTCTGCTGGGAATCGCTCTGGCAGCTGCCTTTGGCTCTGCTGGCTGACCTGCAGATGAGGAATAGTCCTGAGTCTTGTTACCACGCTGGATCCTGAAGCTGCCTAAGTGGGAGGCTAAAAAGCGTGACAAAAAAAAAGTGATCTGTTCCTTCCCACCCTGCTGTGGAGGCACTGAGATCTCCCTTCAGCAGACGTGTGGCCCCTGCCTGCTGTGGGGCTGGATTTGCATGTACCTCATACAAGATGCTGTAAATAGACTGGCTGTGTCTGTGAAAAAAGCTGGATGGGTGGGTGGAGAGCTTAATGGCTCCCTAAGATGTTGTGGGTTGTTTCTGGGAGCTCCCTTCAAAGGAGGAAAAAATGTTTTCATCTCTTAATATGAGGTGGCTGTATAAACACGGGGCTGAAGAGGGCCAAATCCATTACAGGAGGAGTGTTTACTGAATGCTGTGCCCAGGGCAGAGGGCTCTTGCCAGCAGTGAGGCACAAATGCTCTTTTCCTCGCATGACTTGGAGGTGGAGAATCAAATAAAAGCTTTTCTGGTCCTGCCTTCTCACTGGCTCTGCCGCTGTGTCTCTTCTTGAAATCTCCACCACCCAAGGACAGTTATAAAAATGTTTGCTGAGGGCCTATATTTGAAAGCAAGTGTTAGTAGTATAGAGGTGAGGGACTTGACTCTGTCCTTCCTTTTTTTTATTGTACTGCCTGGTTGAAATCTGTCCATTCAAACTTGATAAGAGAGGAGAAATTGTCTTGGTCTTTCCAGGGTCTGCTGGGCAAAATAAGACAGTGTAACATGATGGGCCTGTCCCAGTGGGCATGGCTGTGCTGTTTTGGGGTGCAGAGTGTAATACAACCAAGGTATGGGGTGGATGGCATTGCCCCAAGACGCCAGGCACCTATGGGCATAGCTTCTTTGGGAGGAGGGAGCAGGTCTCTTTGTTAAGTCAAGGGCATGAGTGACCCTGCTGGAGACTTGCCATTGCCAACTGTGAAGATCTCAAATGGGAGCACAGAAATCAGATCTCCAGTACAGTGGCTTTTTCAACTGGCTTCTCGGGGCTCTGTGTGTGACCATCCCATCTCCTGGCATGGGGGGTGCTGTGTTTGGCCATGGGGCTGCCTCTCCTGCTTTCCAGGGCTGAGGGGTACAGAGGAACGGGGATAACCTGCTGCTGTCATCCTCCTCCTTCTCCCATAGGTGCTGCCTCTGGAAAACAAGATGAAGAACCCCCGGCAATTCCCAGTCATTCTCTACGTGGGGATGACCATTGTCACCATCTTGTACATCAGCCTGAGCGTCCTGGGGTACCTGCGCTTCGGGGCGGACATTCAGGCCAGCATAACACTCAACCTGCCCAACTGCTGGTGAGTCCCAGGGGGTGAGGGAGGAGGGTTCTGGCCAGGGAGGCAGGAAAGGGGGCAGTGAGGGGACATTGCTCCTTATGAGAAGTAATATGGATGAGCTCATGGAAGGATCAACCATGCTGTAGCCAGACTGTCCAACGGAGCTAGTCAAGGGTTGTCTGATGAATGGGGTGGTGAGCTCATTGCTGTGGTGTCTGAGCTTGGTCTTGGCTCTGCAGCTCAGGCTGCTTCCTCATGGTCCCTGGTGGTCCCTTCCTGGGTAGGTGCAGCTCCTGCCTTTTTCTTGGAGTCTTGTGGTGTCTTTTTGGGGGCTAAGCAGCGCTATGGCTGGCAGGTGTTGAACACAACCCCTGTATGGCCGTATCAGAAGGTCACTGAACACTGCAAAACCTGCTTCTCTTCCCTAAGTGAAGCACGTGGAAAACTAAACCCTCATCTGGGAGCTTGCAGAGGGGGCGAGATGTGATGTCTCCACGCATAGTCTGCGTTCCTGTTTGCAGCCCCGGAGCTCAAACTCCCACTCCTGGGCTCCGTGTTGTGCCTGGATGCAGCTTGGCTCAAGCCAGCGCTTTGTCTGTGAGTGCTGGTGCCATGAGGATACCCCTTCCCTCCCATGGGGGCTGAGCTCTGCAGCTCCCCAAACCTGTCTGTCCTCTTCTGGGATCCCGCGAGGCCTTTTGAGATGCTCCGGTCGCTGGCTGGAGCCCTGCAGAAATACATGTAGCCTGACCCTGTGCCTGCTTACCTGGAGGGGTTATTTCTCTTCTTGCTGGTACAGCTGGCCGGGCCACGTGCTGGTCGGTCCTGGGGGTAAGTGTTTGCTCAGTGTCACGTCTCCATATTCATCCCAGAGGAGAAATGCGAGCAGTTTCTCTTGCCTCTGGGACAAGAAGTGTGGAGCATGCAAATATTGAGAACAAAGGCCTTTTCCAGCTTGCTTTGCTTGGGACTATTTGAGAAAGTCCTGAGAAAGCCCATCTCTCTTGCTTCTTACGACACATTGCTTTGGGGTGTCTGTGTGGCAGGACATGGTGCTGACAGGCGAGGAGGAGCTGGAGAGAAGCTCTTATCTACACGCTGCAGAGGTACCGCTTGGGCAGCAGCACCTCCTGCGCCTTGGTGTGGAGCTGGAGCTGAGGGCTGGCTTTGATGCCACGAGGCTTCTTGGAAAGCTGTCCTGGGGCACTACAGTTTCACCAGGTTTGCCTAGGAGCACTTGGAATTTCAACAGTTTCTCTTTGATGTCTCTGCTGGCTTGAAATCCTACAAGAGACCGGAGTGAGAATTGGAGTTGGGGGTGCCTGTCCCCCTCCCCAGCCCATCCTCTCTGCTGTTAGCAGCTGCCCAATACTGTGCAGCATGACTTGCTGCCTCTTCTCAACTGTTGAAGTGGATTTGGGCAAGACTGAAAATTGAGTCACTGGTGGGCTTCCACATGTTGACCTTGTAGAGCTGCGCAGATGGGGCTCTGAAGAAAGCAAAGATATTAAAAAAACAGAGCCTGTTTTTGTTTTAATTATTGCTATATGTTTTTTTTTTCAATTTGAGTGCATGGACTTTCATTCATGCTGGATCTGCGTAGTGACTGAACTGCTGGATATTGGTGTCGGTGTGGCAGAAGGTCCTGCATCTGCTTAGAGCCTTGCTTTGTCCCCTGTAGGGGCTGGGAGCTCTGCCAGGTCCCTCTTCTCAGTGAGGAGGGATGGGTTTAGTGGAAAAACGTGCCTGTGTTGTAGGGAGATCTGAATCCCATGGTGCTAGGCACAGTAGGTATGAATCCCATCTGCTCAGCAAGCTAAAACGAGGTGTGAAGGCGATGAAATGCCGCCACTTCTGAAGGCGGGAAGCAGGTCAGATCCAGGTTTTGGGCTCTGAAGAGCACCAGGTCCCGCCACAGCCTGTAATGGCATCTGCTGACCTGTAATGCTGCCCAGGGGCTTCTGCGGGAAATCTCAGCTTTGTTTGCTCTAAAGGACAATGTTCCCTTAGGAGAGGGTGATGGGATTTCTGTGACTTGCTAGGGTATAGAAAGATCCTATTTCAAATACACGTTTCTAGGAGTACCCCTGCTTTCTGTGAAAGTACTTTTCTGATTAAAAAAAAAAAAACACAAAAAAAAACAACCAAAAAACCAAAACAACAACAACAAAAAAACAAACAAACAAACCTGTAGGGTTTTTCAGATAGTGAGAAAAGCCCTTTGGAAGCAGTGCCTGGGGAAGCCTGGGCATGTGTCAGGGCTCCTGTGGGCTGCCTCCGGGGAAGGCGTGCTGTGATCCTTGTGACTTAGCGCTCAAAACACTTTGGTGTTTGTGCATGTTGCTTCCTGGCAAAACATTTGATGGAGGCTGTAAATACTGGACTTGGAAATGGGTTATCTAAAATAAGGGCTGGGATACTTGGGCTAAAGCCTTGACCGCTGTATTCCCAAGCATTAGACTGTAGGTGATGGGTGAGGGCTTGCTCTTGAATGAGTGTTTTGCCCATCCTACTTTGCCTGTGTGTTTTCTCCCCAGCAGTAAAAGGCATTGGGCTGCAGAAGCTGGTTATAAGGGCTGTGGGTGAGAAGTCATGGGGTTTGCCTGCGGCGTGGAAGACAAGGCGAGGATTATGGCAGAGATGCTGCATCCTTCCTTGGCTGTAGCCATTGCCCAGAGGTCTCTAGTACAGATTTGATGAGCGTGTCAGGAATCGTTGAGTTTCAGGATGACTAAGGACTTTTCCAGCCTCATTTCTCTATAACCGCAGCTTCCTCAAATGAGGAGTGTGTCGGTTCCCAGTGCCCCATCTAACCACAGCCTCCGAAATACTGCACTGCTATGCAGAAATTCCTCCTCGCATCCTCGGAAGGGTTGCTTCACCCCACCATCTGACGAGTGAAGAAATGCTGTAGTGAGGGGGAAGATGTTTGGTTGCGTGTGGCCAGTTGGAGGTAGGTAATGACAGAGCTTACGGTCAAAGGAGGGTATGCAATTTCTTGCAGCTTGTTGGGATGGCCTGGCGTAGCTCTCGGGGTTAAGCAGGCGGTTGCTGTGGTTGGCAGGCCTTTCCAGGGCCCCATGTGGACCTGTGTTTTCTGTGCGTCAAGGCTAGTGCTTGAGCTCTTCCCCTTGTTGATATTTAAAATGCCCTTTGAGCTTGTTGCCCTGGTTCCTGACCTGTACAGGATTGGTACCCAACCTTTTTCTCTACCTTTTTTTTAATAACATCTCTTAATTGTGGATTGCCCTGGAGCACTTTATGGCTTTACAGCATCACTTAACTGAAAATACAGCGATAAGATATGCAGGCTGTGGGGTAGGTGGCTCAAGGCTACCATGCACTGAAATCATGTGTGGCTGAGTGGGCGCACTCTGGACTCTGTGATAACTTTGTCTTTAGTTTACCTATGGAATCACAGCATGACTTAAATTGGAGAGGGCATCGGGAGATCACCGGGTCCACCCACATGCTCAAAGTAGGGCCAACTTACATTCTGAACAGCAGAAAGGAGGGAGGTTCCCCACCTCTCCAGGCCCTTGCTCTGGTGCTTAACTAACCTATTGGGATGTGGCTCTGTCCTGTTACCCCAGGTTCTTCTACTGTGCAGCTCCAAGGGCAGCCTGTCTCTGTCTTCTCTGTGCCTTCCTATTAGATAGCTGAAGACAGTAATAACATCCCGCTTAACCTTCTCTTCATGCTGAACAAGCCCAGGCCTCGCAGCCTCTCCTTGTACATCATGTGCTCCAGCCCCAACTGTCTTAGTAGCCTTCACTCAACTTGCTCTGGTAGGTCAATGCCTGTCCTGTTCTGGGAGTCTCAAGACTGGACACAGTACTCAAGATGCAGCTTCACAAGCCTCAGGCAAGAGAGTAATCCCTAGCCTTAACCTGCTGGCTATGCTTTTGCTAACACAGGCCGGTATGCGATTGACCTTAATCACTGCAAGGTCCTTCTGCTGGCTCATGTTCCATTTGCTGCCCACCAAGACCTCCAGGTCAGGTGGGAAACGGGGCCCCAGCCCGTCCCTTGTGTGGAATTTTGTGTTTGAACTTTGCCCGTGCCACCATGTTGTTTAGGTCCTGCTCCAAGGTGTGTCAGCCATCCCCTCCAATTTGGGCTTGTTAGGAACTTGCTGAGAGTGTGCTCTGGGTTGTTGAGAGCTCATCTAGGTCACCAATGAGGAGATTTCCATGATTGCCCCTTGGAAAATCCCCCCTGGCTGTTCATTCTGTCCAATATGTGCCTGGAAATGGATGCCAGGAGGACTTAGCCCATACTGTTCTGGGGATCGGGGTGAGGCTGATTAGCCTGTAGCTTCCCTCATCCTTCTTGAAGGTGGATATGATTCTTCTCCCCATGTAGCGGGACCTCTCCCTGATCACTCCGCTCTTTTAAAGATGATACAGTGGCTTCAGGTTGATGTTGGCCACAACCTCAAGTAAGTCTGATCTGGTCCCATGGACTTGCATAATGTCCCGTTTTATCCCTAACTCCATCCTCCAGGGTTGTGGGAAATGTTTGACTCCACCAGACTCTGCCACTAGTGTTCAGAGTTGTCCTGCATGTGAATACTTGGACTTCTCTGGTTTGAGACTTGTTGTAGCAGCTGGATGCTGAAAGCCAACATACAGAGGGGCAGTAGCTTGGGCCCAAAGAAGGTAAAGGGATAGAAGGTGGCAGAAGGAGCCAGATATTTCCCTCAGCTTGGATCCACTTCATATTTACCAGAGTGGTATGGCCAGGACCCGTGTTTCCTACCTGGTCAGCATGTGTTGAGTTGGGGAACGGGTAGGACCATATGTGATGTAACTAAATATCACTTCTCTTTTGGAGAGGCTTTTTCTGCTGCTGGTGAGCTGAGGGCCAAGATGGGGCGGGGAGGTGGCTTTTTGGCCACCTGCAACAGGCTCTGTCCTGCAGCCATGCTTGCCCCGCTGCTGCATCGCTGTAGGATCTGGGACATGGTGAGATCTGACTCGGGGTGAGCCTAAGGTGCTGTTTGCAGCATGTCTGCACTCTGCCTTCCTTCTGCTCAGCCCAAACTGCTCTTTTAACTGTCTTCCCCTCAAACATGTATTATGCATCATTCCAAAAATAGCTGCTTTTTTTTGTTTTATGGAGGAGATTGAGGTGCAGGTGATGGTGGTGATGTTTGCATCACATTTGCTTTGTAAGCCCAGACTTATCCCAGTGGTACTGTCCTTTTTCCCCTCTTCAGAAGCGAAGCAATAATAGAAATCTGTGACATATTCAGGCTGCAGCTGATAAGCCTCTTTGTATATATTCTTCATCTCCCATTTTAAGATGGAGAATAAAATCCAGCTGGTTACAAATAGGAAAAAATCAGTTTGTTTGTTTTGGTTTTTATTCCTTCAGCTCAGAGGCTAGATTTTTGTTAGTGAAGGTCAAGGTGAGGAACCTCTGGGGATGGGTGATGGATGCAACATCATTCTGGGTCACTGGCCAAAAATCAGGATTGCAGACTCTCAACAGTACCAGTGCTAGTGGGTGTTGTCTGTGGGGGACAATCATGAAGGCCACCCTGTGTCACTGCAGACCTTGCAGAGTCCAGCCTGGTCAAGTGGTGAGGGTGGCATGGAGCCCATATCCCTACCTAGGGAGCAAGGTACCTGCAGGACTTTGTGCAGTCAAAGGCAGTGTGGCACCTGTGAGCATCTAGAAATGTAGGTAAGTGCCTTAACTTGTCAAGGAACAAGTTGGGATCCTGGTGCCTTGGCCAAGGACACCTCAGCTTTACCTGTGCCTTTGAATGAGTTAGGAGCAGGATGGGTTTGCAGGTTTTTTTTTATTTTTTTTTTTTAAATTTTTCTTTTTTCGAATAGCTCTCAATATCTGTGCCCACGAGTTTTCCTAAGGGGAAGCAGCACTTGAGAGGTTGCTGGCCCAACTCCTGACCTGATGATTCCTTATGCAAAGCCAGCACTAAAGCCTCCGAGTAGGTGTGGGGGCATGTGTTGCCACAACTTGCAGGTTGCACTGTCTCCTTGCTATCTCTCGCCCAAGAAAGGTCTCTGTGAATTGAATGCATCACCTCTAATTTTCCAGGAGAGTGTTCAGGAGGGGAGACCACTGGCAGACAGAAGTCCTTCTTGGCAGAGCGTTCCCCTTCTACTTTCTGCCATTGACGCTGCCAGGGCTGGAGCAAGAGCGTCTCAGTGAGTGTCCTCCTTCTCGTTTGCAGGCTGTACCAAGCCGTCAAGCTGCTCTTCTCCATTGGGATTTTCTTCACGTACGCCGTGCAGTTCTACGTGCCTGCTGAGATCGTCATCCCTCCTCTCGTTGCCCGGGTGTCGGAGCGCTGGGGCTTGCTGGTCAACCTGCTTCTCAGGGTGGTCCTGGTCAGCGTGACCTGTGAGTAGAAAGCAGCTTGTCTGAGCTTCCCTATGAGGATGTGGCACCTCCTTCCTGCTGTGGGCTGGTGGTGCTGAGAGCCATCGCCCCTCACCTTGCTGCCTCTGGCCCTGCCACTAAAGCCCTTGCAGCAGGGGTTCTCCTGGAGCTTGCTAATGCAAGCCAGTAGGCCAGGGTGGCCTCCAAGGAGCAGCAGCAGTGGTCCTCTGCCCCCTCTATATAGGACCAGTCTTCTCAATGGAGGAGTATTAAACTTCCCAGATCATGTGGAGGTGGCAGATCCCTGTGCAGCCTCAGGCCCAGAGTCCCTCTGATGCCCCTTTTGAAGGCAATTGAGTCCCATCAAGCTTTGCATGAAACACTCCCAGCACCTGGTCTGGTGTCAGAGCAGCCCAGCCTGGAGGCTGTTCTCCGCAGGCAGCCGGGCTCGTCCTGCGTGACGGGGACACGGCAGCAAAGGGGTCACTGACTGTGAGGGAACGGGTGTCCTTGTACACACACATTCATTGCAGTGTGTAACACAGCAGAAGACAGTGGCCAGTGGTACACAACCCATAGCCAAAGCCCCAGCATGCCCATGGCAGTCTGTTGGGGTGCAGAGTGCCGCAGGGCAGGTCTGGCTGGATCAGCCCCAAATGGTCCGTTTCCCTTGATGGTGTTTGGTGCCTGCAGTGGGGCTCTGGTTGAGCAGGCTGCTGGGCTTGACTCTGGTGGACCTTTGGGAAAGGTGCGGAGCGAATCAGGTGCAGGAGTATCTGATTTTGTCTGGCTTTGATTCCTGAAGGGTAAATCCTTGCTGTTGTCAGCACAGCTGAGACGCTTGACTGAGCTCCCTGGCGTCATCTGCTGACAAAGAGCTTTTCTCCATGGCTTGACGCTGCTGATGCACCAGAGTTGAGCACCAGGGACCTGGCCCTGTGTCCCAGCTGGCTTTGGTTTGGGTTTGAGAGGAGCGTGGTGCTAACTCGAGGGTGGTGGAGCTGGCTGAGCACAGGGTGCTGCTGGTTTCTGGGCTCTCGCTGACAATGGGCCAGAAGTGCTGCATGAACAGAGGCGGGCAAAGCCCCGTCTCCTCTGTACTGAGTTCCTGAAGCATGCTCTGCCTTGACACCTGCAGCTGGAGGGACGGTGCAGGGATGAAATCCTGCCATGATGCACCATATGCTCTGACCACCCTGGTGCTGTGGTCGGGCTCGGAGCCCGCCCGCGGGCTGGGAGCCTCTCCCGGAGGGTGTGCGTGGCCAGGGAAGCGAAGGCTTGGAGTGATGGGGTGGCTTTAGGCACTGGCAGTGGCTGTACCCTCCTGTTTGGGGGTCGGAAGGCAGCGGAGGTGTTGGTGGAAGGATGCTGGTTCCTTTGTACCTCCTCCCCTTTCCCTTCCCTGTAAGAGATGGCTGTGGCTGTTGGCGAGGATAAAAGCAATTAGGGGGGGTTGCATGAATATTCATCGGCTGATTGTGTGGCCGCAGAACAAGCCCGCATCATGGCTTTGGCTTCCAAAGAGAGGATGCAATTTGGTGTATGGGTGTCTTTTAAGCTTAGACTTCAAAACCAGTGCACTAAAAAACGCTTTGAATTAATACCTGCGGAAAGCACGACCATTGCCCCTGGAGGCTGAGGGCTGCAGCTGGTGCTTCAGTTCTGCTTGTTTTAGCGGGGGGTGGGGAGGGGTGTGTGTGTGTGTTAATAATTTTGTTTACTTTGAGTCCAAAGAGCAGTGTGGGGTGGGCTGAGGATGCTGTTGGTGGTCGGCTGCTCTGCTCTCCCCACAGACTGCTGGAGTGGGGATGCTGCTTGCAGCAGAGACCTGGCATAGTGCTCCTTTGGTGCTGTGCAGGGCTGAGCACCAGGATAAACTTCCTCCAGGTCAGCTCAGGAGGGACCTTTGCTGTTTGTCCCTGTGGTGGCAGGTTGGTTTGTCTCTAGGCTTATCCAGATGTCAGCAGGGCTGGAGTGGCGGGGATGTGCAGGAGCGTCTCCTGGTTGTGTCTTTGCCTGCTGTCAAGTCTCCCAAGTCTTCCATCTCCTGTGGTGCTGCGGGTGATCCTTGGCTCAGGGAGGCTCCAACAGCCTCTCTTGCTTGTAGCTGATTGCCAGGGAGTGAACAGATCCCTCCAGTAAGGAGCCCTGAGATGACCCTTCTCCACCAAGGCTGTAGCTGCCATAATTCTAGGTGTCCCCTATTTCTAAGCAGAACTTTCAAAGCAATAAACTGATTTATTTCTCTTGGTGCTGACGTCTGCTTTGCTTGCAGAGGATGCTCTTCCACTGTGCAAAGCTCAGGTAGCCTTTTCCTCAGGCTTTGTTTGACCAAAAAGCAGCAGCAATGCTCTCGAGTGCTGAGGTTGCTGTGGATGGTGAGCTTGCTCTGTGCATGAGCATCCTGAGGGGCACCGCTCCCGGTTGCAAAACGGGACCTTGATGATCCTTTATTTTTCGATCCGCTGCCCCAGCCCAAACACTGCGGTGCGCCGAGGGGAACCCAGAAGTGGTGATGGCTGAGGGCTGGCTGGAAGGAGAAGGCACCATCCCTCCATCCCCCCCTGGCCCCGAGCAGGAGGAGGGGGGGAGCAGGAGTATGCTGGAGTTTGCACCGCTAAGTGCAAGCTGTCAGAAGTCTCCCAGGGGGATTTTCCTTGGCTGCAGTTTTTACCTAACAAACATTCTCCCCCGGGCTGTGCTGTAGGTGCTGTGCTGCTGGAGCAGCTCAAAACACATGCAAACCACACGGATTTATTCGGGGTGGGGGGAAAAGGGCTTTTTCCTCCCATCTCCTGCTTTTATGGGGTTTCTGGGGCTTTACAGATCCCCAGGTGTGGGGAGCAGGAGTGCTGGCTCTCACAAGGGGGGCTGGGGTTGCCGGCAGCCGCTCTTCTGCCAGCGGCATCTGTTTGCCGGGGCACCTATCCTGCTCAGCCCTGGAGCTCGCTGTGGTGGTGCCCAGGGTGACAGAAAGGGTTTGGTCTGTGTGCTGCGCTTTGTTAACTCAATGCAACAGCTTAATTGCTTGTTGGGGAGGAGTTGCTGGAAAAATATGCAGCCACATTTTTAAAGCTCTTGTGTCAGGGAAAAGGGCAGAGGTGTGATTCAAGCAAATGGCATCCCTGCGGTGGGTTTTTGCTTGCTTTGACCTGGGGGAGGAGGGTTTCTGCAGTCTGGGAGGTGGCAGCACTAACATCATGTCTGCTCCTTCCCCAGGTGTTCTGGCCATCCTCATCCCGCGCCTGGACATCGTCATTTCGCTGGTGGGCTCCGTCAGCAGCAGCGCCCTGGCTCTCATCTTCCCCCCGCTGCTGGAGATCGCCACCTACTATACAGAAGGCATACACCCCCTCGTCATCGCCAAGGACATCGCCATCAGCCTCTTTGGCTTCGTGGGCTTCGTGGTGGGGACGTACGAGGCGCTGGAGGAGCTGGTGGCGCCCGCCGCTGCTGTTGTGAACACCACCAGAGTCATGGTGCAGTGACGGTCCCCCCCTGCCCCGCCAGCCCCTCCGCCTGCCGTGCTGGGGGCACGTGGGCACCGGGAGCTGCTGGGCCCCTGGGAACGGTCTCCCCTCTCCTCTTGGGAAACATGGTGGGTTTGGCCTGTGAGGGGATGGGGCTGCCCTTCACCGCGGCCACCCGTCTGCAGCAGGGTCCCGTGCTGGGCTGGGGAGGTGGGATCCAGGCCCGGGCAGTGCCTTCCCTGGGGGCTTTTTGGGCAGGTGATACAGCCCAACAGCCCCCTCGGCACCTGTGTAAATAGTCACTTTGAGAGGTGAGGAATCCTGGGGATGTAAATTTTGATTTTATTTTATTTTTTTAAATCCCAACCTTTCTGTATTTCCCTTGTCCCTTCAGTCAGGGCGGGGAACAGGGACTGCTCTTTTTCGTGCCAGTTGTTTTTCCCCCCGTCAGCACTTTATTTTTACAGCAACAGAAAAACCTCAGCTCAGGTTGGAAAGCGTGGAGCTGCTTCCTCACGCCAGCCTTGTGGGGAGGATGGGCAGAGCCCGAGGTGTGGATCGTCCCGGGGCCCCCCAGCTTTCCCACAGTGGGATCCCCAGACATGGGCATTGGCTCCTGCCGTGCTCCAGCTCTGTTTCCAGCCGCCTCTGGGGCTGAGCAGGGCCTGGACCTGGGCACGGGGCACGGTACCTACTTGGCCTGGGGGGGTTTGCTGAACCCTGGCCCCTGCTTTCAGTAGTGACACTTCTTTTTCCCCATCTAGCACACATACCTAACACGTGGCTTTCAGCAGCATTAGAGAACTGAGGCGTGTGGAGAGCAAATGGGCTCTGAGCTGGTCGCCTTGGGCTGTGAGCCCTCTCCCTGCCTGGGACACGGTGTCCCTGGGGGTCACCGTGTGCTGCCCACACGCCACAAAAATACATCGCCTTGTTTACAGTGCCCGAGCTGGGCCCGGCACACTCCGGCTGCATCTGCAGGCCGATACTGAATACTGAATGTCAAATCACAACACACAAAAACCCCATAATAATTATTTTTTTTTTTTCCCCTTTCTCTCCTGGTCTCACTCCTGCATCTTCCGCCTCTGCCCTAGCTCCCGTCCCATCCTCTGGTAGGATGCAGCCCTCTGACTCTTCACCTGTGCTCCTCTTGCTTCTTGTGTTGTGACTGGTCCTTGCTACGCTGCTGCTTTCCTTCCCCTCAGGGAGCCCAGCTCCCTCCTTAAAGAGTTTCCTTGCTTTTCTGCTGGATTTCTTTTTTTTTTTTTTTTTTTTTTTTTAAAACAAGAGAGGAGATGCATCCTCCATGGGATGTCTTTCCCTAATGGTGCAAAACGGTTTTGGCTTGGCCCATTTCTGGGCCAAACTCCTCCCTGATAACGCAGCATCTCCCAGACACCAGTAGCGTGGTGGCTTCTTTCGGAGAGCCTTCATCCCCTCATCCTGGTGCAGCCATGTCCTCCTGGGGTGGGCAAAGGCTGCTGGCGGGGTGGGAAAGGGGTGTGAACAGAGCACTGGCAGGCTGCGTTCCTGTCTTTGGAGGATGAGTGAGGCTTGGGGTTATTTTTGGTGTTTGACCCACTTCTGGGAGCAGAAGGCTGTGCAGAGCGGTGTCCCGGCAGCCTGCCTCCTCAATGTGTGGTGTTTCAGTGTCTTGCACTGTGTCCCCTTTGCTGGCTCTGCTTTGGGTACGTGGATCCACGGCCAAGTGCAGGCAGGGTAGGTCTGGGCTGTGTCACTGCTCCTTTCCAGCCCCTCGCCTGCTTGCTGCGTCTCTCGGTGCTCACCTCGTCTCCTCCAAGTCTGCGCTGGTGAAGGTTTTGGCACGCTACAGTATTGCTGGGTCACGAGCAGAGCAAAGCTTTAACTCAAATCCTCCATCTGGAGGACACTGTGGGGTCAGAGAGCAAACACTCACGTCTGGGAGGTGGAGGGGGCTCCAGGGCAGGCCGTGGGTGGGAAAAGTGCAATATTCATGTCCATCGCTGTGTGCTGACCCTGGCGTGGCCCTTGGGGGTTAGGTTTGAGTGAAGAAATGTCACCCTTGGCAGAGGAGGGCACGCTGTGAGGAGCAGGGGACATCTGATGCTTGCCCCCAGCTCTGTCGGTACCTCACGAGAAGGCTGGCTGCGTTCTGGGGGACAGCTGAGTGCCAGGACATGTCCCCAGCCTGGCACTGGGCAGGGCTCCTAGCATCCAAACTCACTTTGCAATCAGTGGTGAAGACCTTGTTTCCCAGGAGACTGGGATATCACAGCATTACATGTTTTTTGCAGTTCTTCACTTTAATTGGGGTGAGCAGGGGGTGTTCAGAGATGGGGCCGGATGCGCTGGTGGGGCACGCAGCGTGAGGGGCTCTGCCGAGCCAGGAGGACCTGATACAGGACCTGATGGACACGAAAACTTGACACTTGTGTATCGTAGGCTGCTCTGTAACCAAGAAAATTGTCTGTGTAAATATGGAAATGATTAATGTACATGTCTCATGCCTATGGTTATTGTCAGCGTACAGCGTGTGTAGCTGCCTAGTGGAAGAGCTGGTGCTGCACCTGAATTGTGTATCTTACTTTAATCAATAAATATGATCTATTTTTTACGTGAAAAAGCTATGAGGTGTGAGATGAGGGTTTCTCTTCCACAAGGCAGGTATAAAACTACCTGGCAGGGCCCAGGCCAGGTGTGGAGCAATTCTGGGGGTCTCCAAGGGGGACTCTGCTGTGCCAGGCTGGATGGGACAGTGGTGTGGCATTAATGCCAGTGCACACGCTACAACTTTTGGGACTTACCTCCCTTTTTTTTTTTTTCTCTTTTTTTTTAAATTTTTTTATTTTATTTTTTGCAAATAGCACCTAAGTGCGAGGGCTTGGGAGGAGGGGATATCCATGGGAAAGCAGGAGACCTGGAGCCCAGCAGGCAGCTGGGGTCAGACCCTGTGCTTCTCCCACCCCTGCAGCAGCATACAAGACTTCCCTTTCTGCTGAAGGTTTCAAATAAAATTCAGAGCAGCAAAGCTGAAATAAAGTTGTTTTTTTTTTTTTCTGGCTGCATTTGTGCAAGTAGGCTGTGTGAAGAGCCTTTATGGGCTTGCTGGATTTGGCTCTTCTCTCTGTCCCACCAAATCTGTGCCTTGGCTTCTTTGGCTGGGTCCTGGGACCCAGCAGCCTGGCTTATGTCAAAATGGGACCGAAAAAAGATCCCGGCATGTGCCGATGACAGCAGCACAGTGGATGCCAAGCTGTTGCTGATCTGCCCAAGAGATCAAAGGAGCAAAAGCCAGCCCACGCTCGGAGATGGCCGGCTGCCATGCCAGCATTGCTGCAGCTCCGCTTATCCTCACACTGCTGAGTAATTCATGCCATTGTGGTGTGTCATTAGTGGGGCTGTTTGGGAAATCAGTGCTATAAATTTAATCTTTTGAAGCTGTGGCAGAAAAGTCTCCTTAAAATATGCAGACTGATGGGGACTGTGGTCCCTGGAGAGAGAATCTGAAGCCACATGAACCCCAGAGCGGGAGGAGCGGCTGGGCACAGGCAGCTCCTGGTGATTGGGGTATTTCTGACTGTGGAGAGTCACCATGGCTGGATCTATGACCATCCTTTCTTCTAAGGGTTGAATGCTGCAGGGCTGCACCCATTCCATGAAGTGGCTTTGCTGAGGCTACCCTTTCCCAGGTGACATTTACCAAAGCATCATCTCTATTGCCCTTCCCCTCCCCTCTGCTGCAGCTGCTGGCCAAGGTGACCCCAGGGAGTTAGCAGTCAAAAAGTCTAAAGGAAAAGAACATCAGTGTTACTTGTGCTGCTTCTGACACTGGGAAGAAGAATGTGGGTTCGCCCTATGGGAAAAAGGCGGTGCATGTTGCTGAGAAACTCTGGCACTCTTGGAGCCAGGGTGGGAAGCCAGCAGGGTGGGAAGCCAGCAGGGTGACAGCCTGGCCACCCCTCGGAAACCTGCCCAGACCCTGCGCCAGCAGCAGTGGTGGTGGGTCCCTGCTGGGATACCCCTTGTGCCAGCACTCATACCATCCTGCTCTGCTGAAAGCACCAGAGAGCTAAGGCACAAACTGGGGTTTATTAGCAGAAAACAGGGGCAGAGCAGGTGAATCGGATCTTTTGGCCATAAGAAAATGCTGCTCCCCCAGCAAGCCTGGGGATGGCAACTTACACTTCACAATGTCCTGTCAGCACACAGGGGGATGAGCCTGCTGTGGGGACCCATCTGCATTTAGTTTTATTTAAAATAGCCATATGGAACTGCAAAACTCACAAGTCCATCCCAGCAGAGGAAAGCCAAGCTGGGGACCTGCAGAAATGCAGCCAAGTGCTATCTCCCCTGGCTTTAATTTGAGATTAACCTCAGCTGGGGTGGGAGGTCTGCCTGTGCCAGGTGATGCTCATCTGCAGCTTGGGCAGGAGGGAGATGGCTATACTGCTGTTCCCTTCTCAGCTTTTCCACGTAATGAAGTCCTCTTGAGCGAGCAGGTAGGATGCTGTGATATGCCTGGGGTGTTTTGGGGAGTGGGGTAAGTCACTGCCTTGGGATGTGGAGCTGGTGGCAGGATTTGTCTTCTCGGCTATCCAGAGATCCATTGTACCAACATGGTACAATCATGACCATGTAACCAAGGGGCTGAGTGGGAATTGGACACTGCTTCTTTCTCAGGTATTGGCAGAGGTGAGGGTAAAGGAGAGAGCAAGGCAGCTTTATGATGGCTTCAGGAGTGCATGCTCTTAATGCTTCACCCAAGGTTCACAGGGCCTAGGATCCTCTGAGGTGCATAGGTGTCTATAAATGCTCTTAAGGTCTTAAAGACTTGATGAATAACAAGAGAAATGAAAGGAAAGAAAATCCTGAAGGGTTCAGATGATTTTTTGAACAGGTATCCTCTGCAGATTTCTTGCTCTGATGTGCCTAACATGCCCCTCTGACAGCATTGTGAAGGATGGTGGCCCAAGCTGTTCCTGGTGTGAGCCATGTTTTGGTGGAGATGGATCATTCACTCTCCTCCCTTGGCTCTTATGCTCTGTTTGTACATCCCTGACAAGGAGGCAAAGGACTGGTGTGTCTATCTGCATGCACTTAGATGGTATTTTCTTCCCCTCCAGGCTCAGTCCTCTGGGGTTAGTTTCCATCAGCCCTGTATGCCAGCATGATCCTCTTGTACTCGTTCCTGAAGTTCTGATTCATGGCCCCATAAATTACAGCGTTCAGGAAGCCGTTAAAGTACGCCATGAAATAGCTGGAGGTGAAGAGCCATTCTGGGATTGAGGAACCCAAGATGGCTCCACTGCCACCACAAAGCTAATGAAGTTTAGGGATGCCCAACAGACAGCAAAGAGCACAAAGACCACAAACATAGTTGAGAGGTTCTGGGAATTGTGGGGCTTCATTTTAGGGTGGACGTCAGGCTTCACCCTGCACTGTACTTGGATGGCAAGCACCCAGATCTTCAGGTAGTAGTAGCTGATGACAGTGATGGTAAGAAGTGGATCATCACCAAAACAGTGGTGTACAGGGAGCTGTTGGACTGGGCAAAGGTGCAGGAGTAACACACGGGGGTCGTATTCCTGGGTGCATCCCTGCCCGGCTGTGGCATCTGCAAGGCGGGTGCGCTGGGTACCCGGTCCTGGGGTATCCCTCCCTCCATCCCCCCAGTGGCATGGGGAGCCGGGCTGCTCCCCTGCCTTCCGCAGCTTCTTGTTCCTGAGGATGGAGATGATGATCAAGCCACTGCCCAGGATGTCAGCCGCAATGGGGATGAGGAGCGTGAGGGCGAGCACCCAGGTAGGGTAGGGCGGTGTGTCCCCCTGCCCCATGCTCCCATCCATTACCGAGTTATCGAATAAAATCATAATAGTAAAAAAATCCAAATTCTTTTAATACTTTCCAAAAATCAACAACAGAAAAATTACATCAACCAACCAACCAAAGAAAACCTCTCACGAAGAAACGATACATTTCCAAGCACAAGGATGTACAGGCAAACCCACACTCAATAGCCTCAGTGCCCCATCTTGGATAGGAGATACCACGCGGTGCTGGCCAGACTTTCTGGGATACACTGGGGAGCCCCAGCTGGGTGGCAGGACCATGCACTGCTGCATTCAGCACAGGACCATGACAGCCCCAGGGACATGTCTGTGCTCGCGTCCTTTGGGCAGGGTTTCCCTTACTCTGACTCAGCAGGGGTCCTGCTTTGCTGCTAGCTGCACTGGTTCGAGTCTGTGGGTAGTTCCTGGTGTGATGAAGCTTGTTGCTTGGTTTTTCTACAGAAATGGACCTTTTTTTTTTTTTTTTTTCCTTGAACTTCTGTTGGCCAAGTGAGGGATGTACTGATGGGACTAGCTGGATTCCCTCATCTCTCTCCCTACACAGGGAGCAGACATGGAAGAGTGTTTGCACCAGCTGATCCATTCCACTGGGCAAACTGTTGGCTTGATGCAAGCCCTTGGAGCCGGAGCTGGGGACAGGGAGCCTCTGCTATCCCACCTGGGGCACTCCCAGGCTGTGCATCGCTAGTCTTTTCACACCTTCTCCACCACAACTGCTGCCATGCCTGTAGTGCTTGCCCTCCTCCTCATCCCTGTGGCCAGGGAGCCTGGGGTGGGAGGAGGTGGCATGCTGTGGTCCTGCACGGTGTCGGAGGAAGTCCCCTTGGCAAGGAGGCAGGTTAGTCGTTGGCATCCCAGGAGCACCCTCCGTGTCCCGGCAGTGGCTGGAACGTTTCCCCTCCATTTGCAGCAGGAGCACCATGGAGGGCAGCGGGGGAAAGATCCAGCCAAATTACAACCCAGCTGTGCAGGGGGAGATGCTGCAAGCTGGGGCGGGGGGGACACACGTAAGTCTCCCTTCAGCAGCACGTGCCAGCCCCTTGCACACTGCTCTGTGCGGAGACGCGCTTCTCTTCTCATCTCGAGAACGAGCCCCGCCGTTAGAACATCACCTCCTCGCAGCTCCCATAGTCACTCTCCACCATGTCGGAGCCCTCGTAGTTGGGGGGTGGAAGGGACTGGGCTCGGATGCTGGGCTGGTGGTGGCCCACCTCGCAGTCCGCGTAGGAGGGCTGGGCCACGCTCAGGCGCATGCTCACCCGCTTGTAGCCGGGGTCGGGCTGGTACGGGACGCCCTCGCCCTGCACCAGCTGGGCTGGGTAGTAGCTGATGGCCGTGTATTCGTTCTGGCACTGGGAGGCTCCCATGTCCACGGGGCCGAGTGGCAAGAAGTCCTCCAGATTCTGGTTGCTGTAGCGGGGTGGGATGGGGGCCCGCTTGTTGCTCTGGTCCAGAGGGAAGGGAAAACCCCCGTAAAGAGCAACCGGCTCCGTGTCTGTCGGCGGAGGAGGTGGAGGGGGGAGAGGGGGGTGGGAGGAGGATGCAGGGGGGCCTTGAATGATCTCATAGTGGGAATATTCCTGGACGTCTGATGACAGGTACCGGGGTGGCCAGTAGGTTGTTTCTGCTGGGTAGACTGGAATAAAACAGAGTTATGTTAGCTGCAGTTCAAGCTGTTGTTTTCCCTCTCCCGTCTTCCTGCTAATTCCTTCTGTCAACTCTGAGCCCGCAGGAAAGGTGGCAGACCAGGGAAGAGAGGAGACATGGGGACAGGGA